TCCAATATATTATAGTTATATATTACATGAGGAAACAAGTTTATCGCTGTGGGTTGTACAATAAATGAAATCAATAGGCGATGAGCTTTTAAACAAAATTTCTTTTGGCATCAATGACGATCAACTGTCTGTATTGTCGGCCAAAATTTGTGTTTTGAATATAGCCATCGAGAGGCGACAGCTTCACTAAAAATATGGCGCTGACAGCGCTGTGCGTCTCGTGGAATTTGTACATTTCTCTCTTTTGAGCAAATGTCAACTGGAAAAGGTCAGCGTGGGGTCAATTGCCCGTACGGGAAATGTTATCGAGGAGCGAAAACTTGAATAAACGAGATTTGCAAGCGAGCAGCGAGCGAGCTGTCTTTCGTATAAGCAAAATATTTGGTAGGAGTTTTCACCGCGGCAAAACTGTTTCGGTCATAAGAGAATATATCAAAGTATTGTTCCTTATCCTTATACTGCAAAACTGCATCAAACTTGTGCGAGAGATCTAGTCAGTTTTTGTAACTACATTTCGGTATTTCGGCAAATTATTATTGAGATGGTATATCAAAATTATTGAGAGGTAGTAGGGATTGTATCTTTTCGCGGCTCGGTTGACTGACACCAACATTGTAATTAACTGCCCGGTACGAAAATATGAAATTACTTAAAGTCGGCACAGGAAAGCTTTCACAAAAAATGTTAGTAAAAATTTAACTGTTTAATTCATCAAAATTGTTGGTAGAAAAAATCAATAATAATAAAATAACAGGGTATTGCTAAATGATACTTATTTAAAGTATTATATCAGATTGAAAATATAGCGTGCAAAAATACATCAGAAATCTTTTGAATTTTGTCATTCAATAATATGAGTTTTAATAATGTATATTTTTTGTTTCTAAACTCACACTAAATAAGCGAGGAAAGACTTAAAATTATTAAATTCTGAAAATTCATCTGCAAAAATTTCTTAGTTTTCAGATTAATTTTTTGGCAGCATCGAATAAATACTAAACGAAGACCGTTTGCAGGAGATTTTTATACGGTCTGCTACAGACACGAGCTTACCAGCCATTGAATAGACTAGTAACTATTTATATCTGTCAATTCTCTAACGCTGGAAATACTCACGATAGCTTATCACAACCAAAACTTTAACCGTCCAAACCCGATAATATTTTTTTGCGAATCCGACGACTCTTGACCGCTTCTAAGATGTCGAGTCGCCTGCTGCTTCTATTTCCAGCAGGCGGCGGTCAGTCCAGATTTCGAACGTCCTCCTTTCAAGAATTTCGAGGCTTCATGTTTTTTGCTATATTTTCTTGAGTTTATTTTTATACGAGATGGGGAGAAAGTTTCCTGTTGATTCTTCGACTAGAAATTCACTGAACATCGACTCTGACTTCAGACGAATTCATTTCGGCAGGCCAAGAAACTTTGAGATTTAATAGCTGACTCGCATTTGTCGTTCGCCTAGAAATAGAATTTCGAAGTTGCAGAAAAATTAATCTCAAGAACTGAATGATTATTTTGCAACCAATTAATTATTACTGGTTAAGAATTTAATTTTAGAATTTTTTATCCTTTTTTAACGTTTTTCCTTTTTTAACCCAGAGAGTGGTAGGACCATATGCATAAAAATTTCAATTTTCATACATTAGAATATTGTTTGGCGGTATTTTTTTCAAATTATTACATAGAAATTCAACTCTTACAATCATGAAATTTATATTGAATGGAGAAGAGGAATAATTATAGTAAATTCAATATAAAAATAATGTACTCAGGAAGAGAATCACAAAAAATGTCCATGGCTTATTTCTTTTTAGCGCATTTTCTCATTTATGGAAAAATGCCCTATTGTGCTCGTCATGTCCGTCCGTCTGTCCGTGACTTCACGTTTTCGTCGACGAGAAAATGCGCTCTCTGTCACTCACTGCAGTGAGTGCACAGTTATATTTTTGCAGTGTTTTACGCTGATGGAATACTATTACTACAATAATTTATTCTTACTGACTCCGATGTTTGGAACTGTTAACCCAACTTCTAAACTTGCCAAATCGAAGCTCTCTTTAGATATTGCGATATATTCCGTACCTCAAATCCAAAGCCATGAAGCAACTCACCGTATCTGCGTTACCATTTACACGATAACAACTCAAGATCGGATTTTCAATGGCAACTCAGACACCGATGTCTGGCCACCAATAAACCGGCCAAGGATCTCAATAGAGCTGCAGGGCCCATACTTTCAAAAAAAGTTAAGAGATCGTAAGTTCATCAGCCAATCATTGACGGCCTTTCAAGCAAAATCCACCAATCATAGACAAGAAAATAAAGCGTAAGTACTTACGTTCACTATACTTTCAAAAAAAGTTAAGAGATCGTAAGTTCATCAGCCAATCATTGACGGCCTTTCAAGCAAAATCCACCAATCATAGACAAGAAAATAGAGCGCAAGTACTCACGTCCACTGAGCCAGTTTTGGAAGTATGGCCCCTGTACTGAGCCAGTTTTGGAAGTATGGCCCCAGGAAACTACGCTGTTCCTGGTGCAGGTATCGCTGAGCTCGCTTGATTTATTACCGTGTTTCTACAGACGGCTTCAAATTTCCTTGGGGAAGGCTCGAAGATTCGATGCAGAAGCTTTAATTTCGTTTTTCTTGATTATTTTGCAACTAAATCATTCATCATCACGCACAGTATTTTTTTTCTTTATTCATCACTTTACGGAATAAAATAGATATAAACCATATATGACTTTTTAGTGATTCTTTTCCCTAAATACATTATTTTTATATTGAATTGACTATAATTAATCCTCTGCACCTGATATTCAAAGCACTTCGCGTGTTGACTGGATGTGCTGGTTGGAAATTTCAACCCTATTCTTTAAACATCTTTGTTGCTCTGTAAGTCATCGTCAGGTGAGAAGCTCTGATTATCTCACTCTTGGATCGGAAGGATTCATTGTGATGGAAAAATTTCGTTAATCTCATAGCATGTCTGTCATGAGTCTTGCTGCTTGCTTTGACATTTAATTGTTTGTGACCAGAGAATCAAATCGGCTAAAAGCTATTGAATAAATGTCATGTTAGCTGAAGGTCCAGAGTTTATGGGTATACTAGCGTCCAAAACTCTCATTAGTCATGAAAATGCACAAAAAGACAAATATATAAAAATAAAAGTAAAATTAACAGTTTCAACAGCTTAACACATTAACAGATTTTTTTACCTTAATGAGTCTCTGTTCATCAATTATTGGACATAAGTAAACGATTTTTTTTCTATTTCATTGTCTTTCCCAAAATGCTAATTGCTTCATGAAAGGTTTAATATTGTTTGAACGGGAGGCTGCAATCCCTTGAACCGATGCGTTCGTCATTTTCGTCACGCGTGTGCCTTCTCATATTCAACTTATTATATCTCATATTCATCTTATATTCATCGTTTCAGACACAAAATATCCCAAAATATTGCTTTTTGTTACCTTTTAACTTCTTAAATGGGTGAACATCGAGTTATAATTAATTTTGATTTATTAATGCTTAATTTTCTAATAAATGGAGTTCTGGGGCCAACACTTTGATTTCGTTTTAACTCATGAAAATCATATGCTCGCTATTGTCGGGCGCTGCCATTCAATGGCGTTATTCGCGTACGTTGCATGTGCCAGAATATTGTCAGCCTGGGCACGCAATGCAATATTTTTTCAATGCCCCGCTCATTTCTGGACCTTGACTGTCTTGCAGGAATAGTATCGATGGAATTTTGTTATATATAGCTGTACTGTTTGTTATATATAGCTGTTATATATAGCTGCATCTGAATACCTGTGCGATATCTTGAATTTGTGTTTTTCATCCAAGCCTTCTCGTTTTAGCTTCTTGTACGCCCTTGAAATTCATCTTACTCCTCGAAACCAAGCTCACAAATGGAAATTTTTCAGCACAGTCAAGTTTCTTAATATATCTTGAACAAAGTTTGGGGCATTTGCCCGCCATTTCAGCTTGCTAACTCTTAATTGAGACCTTGACCTCAGAGAGATAGCAACTTACCTCGCCACATCTGTTACGCAACTTCCATTAGGAAGCCATTACTGTGAAGCTGGAAGCCTATATGCTTTAACCCAAGGCAGGCTCTTATTACGATGTCTTGGGAGAGCCTCAGCTCTCAGCCTTAGGCATTCACTTACGTTGGGACGATAACCTTATTAACGGCTGGTGGTCATGTTTTGAACAGCTCTCTTGACTTATCTCTCCAAAATCCTCATTCCGTGTACTTCTACGCGCTATAATTCAGAATAACACGTAATCTGGAATTTGTTCTCATTTTGGATTGTATTCATGTGACTGTAACCGCTGCCTTCCACACGAGAATGTTAACGTACGTGTAATAGTTTCACCCATCAATCATATCGCATTAGAAGAAATTACTTACATTCAATAAACCCTGATTGATCATGAGCGACCTATATTGCCAAGCTGAATTGAGGTTCGTCATCCCATCTTCTCCCAACTCCGTTCGCTGCTTTCTAAACAAATTATCGATTTCCCATTTAGCGGCTAATATCCCGCGACGAGACAATAACCTTTTCTGATTGCCTCATACCTAGCCTCTCAGATACATGCAGGCTTTCTTTTCCAGGAAGTTAATGCTATTATCACAGACAACGTTAATTCTACAGTTTATTAGTTGAGAAAAATTTTCCCGTTATATTCTATGAACATACAGATTTCTATTTCCAAGTTCAAGTTGAATTGTTTGTTGAAATTTGTCGCGTGTTCGTTATGCAACTGAATCCAGAAGAAACATTAACAGTCCCGTATCTTTTTCTTCAATATTATATCTGATTAAATCTAGTTTCATTCATAATTTAAATATTTCAGATAGATTTAACAATGTTTCTAAAACTAGAAATTTGCATGCTCTAATTATATGTAAATAAAATTTTCTGTGTTTTTATTCTTAAGTATGTTTTTTTCAATTTTAAATCTTGTTCTTTTTATCTTTCAGATACAGTCTCCGTATTCGCAGTTCCGGTGGATCTTGTTATGAAAGTAAAGTAACCAACTTTCAAACTGAACAATAATATATAATTATATTAATGCTATTGGTAATCTTGAAGGTATATATGAAAGACACTGTAAACTTCCTTATTGCGTTAAAAAGGCCGTGTTCAACATAAATTTTTGTTCATTAAAGTCATGCCTGCTTGGAGCTAAGTCCCTGCAAACTCCAAATCCCAACAATTGTTCGGAAGCCACCATTGCGCAGTAAATTGGAAGTCCCACACAACGTCAGGGATGCTTGCCGACACCGAGAGATCAAACGACCATTGCGCCGATATCGAGACAGATGGTCGGGCTCACAGAGACGACGCTTCTTCGGGCCCTGAATTTGGCCCTGGCTGCCGCCCTGTGCAGCCTGTTAAGATTACGAGTTCTTCATATGTTATGCGTTGCCATTCTTGTCATAAATCTAATGTGGGATTTTGTGAGAAAACAAGTCAGTGTTTTAATAATAAACAGCAATGTTCTCTCGGTGGCAGTGACAGAAAATTTCCAAATGAAAACTACCGAACTTATAACCGTGAAACTGGTAACACTTCTTTGCATGAAACTCACAAGCATAGAAGTCGTAAAGAAATGAATGAAGGAACATATGTCGCCGCAAGAAGCAAATATCATTTTAATTTCTCAGAAAACAAATTCTCTTCGTCTCCTGTTGTTAATGACAGTAATGATAAAATATTTGCCCATAACACGCGGAAAAACTTCAATGTAAATGATCAATGTACTACCGATACCATACAAAAATATTCAGGCTGGAATTTTTTGGCTTCTGCTACCGGAGTAGCTATCAATCTTGGTTCATTCCTGAATCCCTGTTATTTGGTTCCGTCGGCCGTTCATCCGTCTTCAAAATCTCGGATGTCTTCATTGCAACTCTGGCTCGTCCTGACTCTGCTCATGTCTAACTTGGCTGCATCCGCTCTTGGCTCGACGCCTACACGACCGGTGAGATAAAATTCATTATTTTAATCTCCTTCGAATTGTTTTTAAATATACCTTCAAGTTACATAATTTACATCAAAAATTGCAAGTAAGTTGTTATTGATAACATACCTTCAGGTTACATAATTTGAGTGAAAAATTGCAAGTAAGTTGTTATTGATAACATACCTTCAAGTTACATAATTTACATGAAAAAATGCATGTAAGTTGTCATTGATAACATACCATCATGTTACATAATTTACGTGAAAAATTGCAAGTAAGTTTTCATTGATATATTTCATATCAGTAGACACCCACTTTGAATTACAAAAGTATCTAAATAGACGCTTCGATTAATATTCCCGCTACATCTTTCTGAGAAAATACCCTCGGTAAAAAACATATCAAAGTTACTATGTAATAATCTTAACGAGAACAACAATGATTTCCCATTTTCCTACAGATGAAAGTTTTAACAAATTGATTTTTCCCAACAGAGTTAAATAGAAAAAATATGAGATTTTACTTAAAATTTAAACATATTTCTTCCAAAAATTTGAAACATGGTCGAGATACCATACACTAACTCGATAAAAATGATTCATTCAAGTTGATAGATGAACAAATTGAATGACGAATAAAATTTAGCGAAAATTACACTTTAAAAAAAAACAAGTATGTTAAAAAATATAACTCAGTACCCACTGCAGTGAGTGACAGGGAGCGCATTTTCTCGTCGACGAAAACGTAAAGTCACGGACGGACAGCCAGACAGATGGACAGACGAACGGACGGTCATGGCGAGCACAATAGTGCATTTTTTCCATTAATGAGAAAATGCGCTATTAACAAGTAACGAAAATGTGTTTTGAGCAAATGAATTTCTATGATGTTACAGAAAACATCACCTGTGAGCTCGCAAGAGCCTGACCTGCTTGAAGCCCTGCGGTTGGTAGACGACATCACACGCGGGACCGACATGAGATAGACGGACAGACGAACGGACGGACATGGCGAGCACAATAGTGCATTTTTTCCATTAATGAGAAAATACAAGTAACGTGATGTGTTTTGAGTAGATGAATTTCTATTATGTTACAGAAAACATCAACTGTGAGCTCGCAAGAGCCTGACCTGCTTGAAGCCATGCGGTTGGTAGACGACATAGCACGAGGGACCGACATGAGGGGCCGGTGCGCGCGGTCTCAACAGCACCTCATGGCACGGGTCAACCTGCATGACGTCATCACCACTCCTAGGTTTACCGAGCTGCAGAAGAAGGCTGAGCTAATGGCGCAGATCTTGTTGGGCACCGGCATTAAAGACGCTTGTGAGTGTCTTGTATTTGAATGATTATAAATTAATAATAATAGATGATTTTATGATAATGGCACAGATCTTGTTGGGCACCGGCATTAAAGACTCTCGTGAGTGTCTTGTATTTGAATGATGATAAATTGATAATAATAGATGATTTTATGATAACTTTGTCGTCATTACTGGCAATGTTTCCTTTTTTGTTGGAATGTTCAGCTTTTGTCACAAATGTTATTCTGAAGGCGGGCAGTAGAGAATCCATGAGATATGCTTGGTCATCATTTTTACTTTAGTAACTAAGCTACATAATAGAAGCTAAATAGCTTCGGCACAAGAAACAAAGATTTAGAATAGATAGTTTGTCTACATTTATTATCATCTTTACATCATTTCGATCGCATTTATTACAACGAATTTTTTCGAAATTGTGACACGTTTTACTGGCTGTCTCATATTTATACTAGGCAACAACTCATTCTCAATTCAATCTCCCCGAACCGTACAGCATTTATTTCTCATTAAAAGATGGATGTGTTCACCTCGCTGAAAACTCTCTGAACATCATCATTATAAAATGCTTATCATTTGCTCGCACGATATATCGCCAACATCTTCTTCTCCAGCACCGTTTGGATTTTGATGCTGGAAGTTAATAACTTTTTTTGCAGCTTCCGATTTTGTTAGATCGGTTCTATTATCGTTGACATAAAAATCATTATGAAATTTCTCCGTTTGTAATGAAGGTAAATTTTAATATTATTTTATAACTTATTTATTTGACTTCCTATTTATAAACAGGAGGGAAAATGGTCGCTTCATGCGTGAAGCTTTTGACATTATCGTGCGTATAGTGGCAGGTTCCAACAATCATTAAAATACTTTATTGCACATCAATCATCATTACAGACTTTCTGCATAAAATAGGATACGTAGCACATGTTCACGTGACACACAGGTAATTATCAGTCTTCGTTCAACAGCTACGCTCCACAACGCGTGACGATGTCTTCCTCTTCAAGTTCTCGTTCTTACTGCTCGTTCCTAATCCGCAATCTCTATTCTCGATTCCAACTTAGCATTTCACCTAAATATCTCGGTAAATAATTGCAAATTGAATCTTGCTAATTATGTTACCGAGAAACTTCAGCATATTTTTCTCGTGAAATATTATTCTTTGATCAATGAACATTTAGAACGCATGATCCGAGTTGAAATATTAAATGATTGAAAATCGCTTGGTTTGATGCCTCACTATTAATGGGAATTAATGCACAGAGAAATAGAAGTGAAAATAGAAAAGCATAGAAGTGAATAAGTTACTTTAAAAAAAAAAATACAATTGTTTTATTATGTCAGAATGGTTATTACTTTAAAAAACACGCCTGGTATGTATGCCATCTTATTTTACCCCCATCGCTTGTGTTATGAAAGCGGAGGTAAAAATCCTGCCAAAATACGTCTGGGTTAGCTAGCTCCCAAAGCGATATCATTTTAATTAAAGTTGAAGGTTTCTCTCGTTGCAGACCGGAGCTAAGGCGATTAAAGGCTTTTCAAACATAAGCTTTTCAACCAATTCTTTTGGGTTATAAAGAAGGTTTTTCTCGTAGCAGCATCTTACGTTTGATTTAATGTATAATATTATTATGTGAATTTAAGCAATGTTTCATATTTCTCTGTGCAGTATACTTTTTGTCGAGACTTTCACCTTATTTCGGCGCATTTTTTCAGTTTTACATCAGCGCAGGCATCTAGATAAATATTTCAAATTTCAGCTAGTAAAATCTTCTTTTCCGCGTCAAAACGTTTTCTGAAATTTGAAAATTTCACACTTTGCAGCCACAAATCTAAATTTGCTCAGGTTCATCCAGGAGGCTTCATTACACACACTCCAACGTGTATTTCTGCTTTAAATTTCACTTTAGCTTTTATAACATTCACATCACCCCTGGGACACCACGCGAACATTTTAAAGCAATACACGAAAATGATGAGCGCAGACAGATCGAAATCGAAAATGCGACTGCCGATGGCATCAGATAGTTTTTCATTCACTGTTATGGCTGGGTTCGCGCGAATCAAAAAGATAGCGATTACACCTTTGTGAAATATTTTCATTTTTCTCGTCGAGAGAAAGCGTCAAAATTGACGCCTGTAGGCTACTCGGTTATTATTGTTTCTTTTGTGAGTCCTGGTTTTTTATTTAAATAATGATAAATTAATATTACAAGAAGATTTTTTTATAATTATGTTGTCATCACTGGCAGTGTATTACGACCTTCGTTTAATTTTGTCCCTCAAAATTACGAGGAAAAACATTTTTACCTAAGATTTGAAATTTACAACGATTATTTTTCAAGGATTGAGTCTATGATTTGAATTTACGTAACAATGCGTGGGAGTGAATCTTCACGTATGAGCCATTCAAGATGCATCACTGGACGGTATTGTAAAGTCCGGCGAGACACAATTGAAGAATTATTATTTCAGTTCAATTTTTGACCATATCTTCTACGGCTCACTTTCAACTACACAAAAAAATAAAATAAACTTCTTCGTTTAGTGTTAGCCTTTTAATCGATTGCACTCTATCCATTCTCATGAATTTCTAATGCTTTATTAACGCCAGCTTATGAAACATTTTCCAACATTTTTATTGTATATTGTTCTTTTCCTCGACATCAATACTAGTGACATCAATAATAAATTCTTTGATAGTGAAATTCTCAACAGAATAAAATTGAATCAGTTGCAACATTGTTAGGTTAATTCCATGTGAACAATCGCTTTACAATATTATGAATGTATGAATTTAGTGACGTTGCGTATCATGATATTGTTGTCGATTGAATTTACGATCGCGGAATAACATTGTAATTGGCTAATAATCTTCCTTTTGAAAAAAAAACATTATTTGAAGAGAAATCTGCGGCTTTATATTCTTGCTTAGATTTTTATTCGAATTTCGCTCAAGATTTTTCGAAATTTCTATAGACCTTTTCTTGCTTGCCATCCATTTAATTATTGCGTCGTCCCCAATTAATATACGACTGTGGTGAATACCGGAAGCGATTGATCATCCCTACATGTAAATGGCACAAGTTATGGAACAATTTACCGATAATTCCATTTGAATGTCCTACAAATACCAATAAAGGTCATAACTTTGATCTAACCACAATCAATTTGGACGGCCTGAATGTCCTGACCTACATCGGATATATATCGCTCATCCGTCATCTGGGTGAACGACACCAGACTCGCTTCCGTAATAATTCAGTGCAGACATGTGCTTATAACGACGTTGCTTCCCAGTGAAAATTTACAGACGCGGCACACCAGACTCGCTTCCGTAATAATTCAGTGCAGACATGTGCTTATAACGACGTTGCTTCCCAGTGAAAATTTACAGACGCGGCAGCTTCTGACTTGGATTACCAGAAGCTGGGGCGACGCTAAATTTTGTTAGGGTTTTGACGTGCAGTTTAATTGCTTGCTCGGCGCACGTGGAATAGCCTGATGAGATTTCAGATCGACATGTTGTAGCTTCGCTATACTTTCGTCTTTCGTTGTCCAGTTTCACGCTAGTGACTGATGCAGATCAAACAGTGTAGATTTATTAGACGGCAGCCATTCTGGTTTTGGGACGAAGTCTTGATTTCATCAACCGGTATTTTAGAAGGAATCATATATGCTTCAGCGATCTCTACCTTGGATTCTGTTTTGTAATAGGTTTTTGCGTGGTACTTTCAGTTGCAAAGTAATTGTCTTTATTTGTAGGGGCATTCGGAACTCTTCTGAGGGTAGGTTATTAGCTTCTGTAATATAACCTGTAGCCGTCTATATTTATTAACTTTTATTGAGATTGCCCAGTTTTGTTTTTTATTTCTCACTACCCCGTTGGCATAGCATATATATTTTGGAAGCTCACAACAATGTTGGCGAATATTCTAGTCTCATTCCCATTTTAATTTCTAGCAAAATTGATTAGATAGACGTTGCATTAATCATTGGGATAATAAAGAAGATATTTCATACTGATATACATATAATTAAAGTAATGCATAGGTATAAATTTAATATCTTAAACAGAATTAAAATAAAGTCTTACGAATTAAAAAACGATGCCTTTTATGATAATTTCATAGATTTTAAATTAACCTAAATTGTCATTTTTACTTAATATAAGCTTGATGAGTCAGCTTTATTAGTATAATTAAGTTAAGTACTCGACTAATTATTCGTGGTGAAAAATAAACAGCGTTTACGTTCAAATCCGTTGTCGCATGCGTTGATCTGAGTTTACCGGGCAAATATATTATTCATTTGCACTCAGGAAGAACAGAGGAACATAGTTAAATGCAGCAGATATTTTGCCCGTAAATTATTTTGCACATGATCAGTTGTCCTTAAAGAACTACCATGAAAACGGCGCAAAACTTGATGCTTGAGTGCAATACATCTGAAGGCTGATTCGTCTTTTTGGATTTTATTATAGTACATTTTCAGTCATATTTTACAAATGAATTTGACGGGCAATTTGGCATATTTTGTTTCTTAAAACGTTCTGTCAATCGGCTCCCTGCACTTGAAGCTGTGATTCCGGACCTCTGCCAAAATTATTAATATGATGTCTGTCGTCTCATTTCTTACATCGCGACCTATCACGCCAATCCTTCCGACAATATTTTCATGTGTTACATCGCCCCAAACCATGCCTCTGCCAATCGCAAATCAAGATACTTAATAATTTTACACTACTTCATCCCCTACCATGATTGCGAAAAATAATTGGAGCATTCGAAAAAAATCTTGGACAGAAACCTACGTGTATGTATGTATATTGACGCTCTTTCTGTATGTTTAAGTACAGAAAAAATCTGCAAAACTGCAAAATATGCAGTTCTTCAACTCCAATTTACGTCTTCAATATACTTTACTTTGGGCAATGTTCGTAAAATTCGAATATATTTCATTTCCTATTACTATTTTAAGAAATTATAGATCCTGCGTATATCAATTCATGCATTCAAAGAAATAACAATTATCCATTCTAATTTTATCCGTAATACATAATATCAAGTAAATTATCATAAAAATTTTTGTTGTTAATAATTTCAATTATTAACGTTTTAAGCTGCGATGAAGTGGGCGCTGAACTTCCTGACATCAGAGGACGACCTGGTGCTGCAGACGAGGGTAGTGCTGCATGAGGGGCAGAAAATGTCAATATTGCCCTCGACGACCTACGGCATCTCAGCGATGCAGGTGCGTGCGTGAATAGCACGGGTCGTACTCGATTTTTTGTCGTTGATTATATAAGTAATGAAAATAGTCTCTTTGATAAATAGTAATTGAATAGTAAAAAGTAGCTAAATGAACTAAAAATAATTTAAATTAATTGCTGATTAGTATTCGAGGTTAAGGCAATTTCAACAATTGAATATAGTTCTTTTTCCTTTTATCTCATCATTTAATTATTTGAATTTCAAATCTGATGTGATAGAGTACATACGAGAAGACTAAGCTTGCTTGATGTAAAAGAAGAATTGATGCCTCACAGGTAGAATAAAAGATATCCGAAAGGCCAAGTTTAACGTATTTTGAATCTTTGTAACCTTTCACCAGTTAATTTTTTTCCATTTGAGTATATGCGTCTCATAATAGGAAGTTAATACGAGTAATTATTTTCATTCTTTATCGCAAAGCTTCACGCTGTTTCTGAACGGGAAAAAACGAAGATGGAGTAAACACGACAAAATGCACCTCCAAGTGACTTTAACACAACGTTTAAAAAAATTTAATCACTTCAAATTAAGCCCCCTACTTTATAATCCTGTTCAAATAGTGCGGTAATCACGCTGATTGCAAAAGTTAGTAGCGTTGTACTAAAAATACAAGAACCAACCGTATAGGCTCTTAGGTCAGGTCTTCTTCCTATGAGTGCCAAAGTAATTTTAATCAATCCTTACCAATCTTTCCTTTCCCTTGGGTAAGATTACGCAAGTTTTAATGTTTATTTCATATTTCATGGTTTCAGAATGTGTCGCTCGCTAACCAGCCTTGGTATTTCGATTACTTGCAAAGAAAAGAGTTTCCCGGTGACCGCTTCCAGAATCCCTTTGGCGCTCAAACTAGAGCAATCAGAGGTACACGTATGCAATACTATCCTCGTGGCAGCATGTCTTTGCTTGATAGACATTACACTAAAAGAGACAGCGGCTCTTCAGTAAATGCTAAATTAGCTGGTACTGCAAATGTACAATTCGATGCTGCTATCAACGCTCGGAGTTTCTCAAGTCGAGGAAATGACGACACCTCGGAGTCCACCAGACGCTCTGGAACTGATGACAAAACTTTGGACTTTGAGGGATCATATGCCCATGGTGACGACAAAAGTTTCAAGCGTAGCGTACGAGCAACTCTGCAAAACGTTGGTGCTCGTATGAAGCGAGGCCATTACAACGCAATGCGACATGGTGGAGAAGCTACGTTCGTGGGGCGCTGGACGTATCCGTACTACCAGTGCGAGACCACAAAATGGGTTTCTTCACTCGTGATTCCGTCTGCTCTTCTAAGCTCGCAATCCAATATTACGTAAGATTACAAACAAATTTCGTGACCGTGTTTCAATGGCTAATATTACTGAAACAGATGAAAGTTTTGCAATATCTGAAATGTTGTGTTACGATTCAGTTGTTACAAACTGTATTCCACTTTCTTCATAGCTAGCAATTTAAATAGGAATGATGAACTTTCTTTTGTCAATGAATAAAATATTAGTGAAGACATGTGCCAGAAAGCTCAGAAGTCCCTTGCAGTAGTTAATAATTTTTTAAAAGAGTTGTCTATTCAAACAAAATATATAGGCAATAAATGTTGTCATAAATTTATAATAAAAACTCCTTTTTTCTCTATCTTATATTTCCATTTTCTCTAGCTTTAAACACACTATTTAATGATCACAAATATGCAGCATATCACGGAATGGTCTCGGCCTGTTGGTCATGGATGTGGACCTCACAGCGATGGACATCAACCAGTGCGACGCTCCAGCCTCCAAAACCTCGTCTTTCCCTGGCGTAACTGAACTTAATGGCATACACAACAGCGATCGTAATGGAGGCATTAACGTTCATCCTAACTATGACTATAACATTGATAATAACGACGATCGTAATAGCGATGTTGAATTGGACAGGAACATCACTTTGGGTGTCTCAAATCAAATGGAGAGCTCAGTCAATTTCCTAGATGAATCGTTCTACGACACGAGTGATGATCCCTCCATGGAAGAGGAGGTCTTGAGTCAATTCGACGCTGAGCGGCAAATTGGGTTCTTTGGAACCCACAAGTGCCACAGCTCTTCAATGGTGAGTGCAAATAAACGGCAAACTATTCTAAAAATAATTTTAAATTAAAACATGAATTTTGGATTCAAAAATTCATTAAATTATAAAAGCTCTGCCGCTCGGAAGATCGGATGTTCTTACTGAGTGCGTTTTTCTGCCTATCGTAAAATTTTAATAATAGTAATCCTAAATAGATTATATTAATACCACTAAATCTCACTGAATCTGGAAATTCAATTTGACTTTCGAGTATTCAGAGTATACAACAAATGGCACAAACAAGATAGTGTTGAAGTAAAAGTGCTTTGAAAATTTTCCCGGGTTTCTGGAAACAGAGTGAAACATGGTGTTCAAATCATTATATTAAGGAATTTACGAAATTTATCTGCCTTTTAGAAATAAACATCGAACAGTTCTCTAAAAATACATGAATTATTCAACAGTGCATCCCGAGTTCCGGTCACGGCTGGAAGCTCGGCGGTTACACTTGCGTGTGTAAGAGGAAATATTTCTTATCAACAAACCCCGACCAGAATTTCAACGACGTGCGAGCGGGAGGTAAGCACTCGAATGTCTTGGGTAAACGATACATAGACAATAATATCGTTAATTTTATTAGTTATTTATTGATTTTGAATCACTGCTTCACAATTATGTCCCAATTAAGTTTCCCTGTCTCGAAATACTGTAGAATATGTAATGAATTAAATTTTGTGGATCACAGAAAGTGAACAAGTTCAGTACATAAAAAAGGAATTAATTATAAAATTGTGCTTGTACTCAATATCTTTTGAACTTCTGCGCCTATTTAAATTTACACAAATCGAAAATATTCTGTTATTCATCATCGTCCTCTTTTCCACGAAAAATGTATTTGTTGAACTGTAGTTTACTGAACTGGAAAATTAAAAAAATTACTTCGACACCATTCAAATTGTACCAAACTCTTTCCAAACTCGTACAAAACTCTTTCTAACCTTAACTAAGAAACTAAGAAATGTTACGTTAAGATAGCGTGCGAATGCCTACCATCCAGTTTTTTCTATGCAATATTGCTATTACTATTATTTTCTTTTGCTTATATTGACTGTGCCCTCTGACATATTCGAGTATCAATACTAGAAGGTTTTATTTAATCTGTAACTGTTACCACCTTGTTACACCGATTGCCCAAGGCAGTGTTTAATTTTTGTATTATTTAAATGCTGGCTGTATTCGACGATGCCAGAATAATTGCTTTTCGATTTGCCGAAGTTCAAAACAAATGTACGAGCGATTTTGTATACAGCCAAATGTTAGCTCTGATTGAAAAACTTTTTCCCATTCAATTACTGAGTTTGACCCAGGCAGAGATAGCTTTAGGGAATAGCGATACCAAAAAATATAAGAAATATTTTTGGCAAACAATGATGTTTGGAATACACAATGGGCCGAGTCCTGAAAAATTCTCGTCTAGTAGATTATGTTGAAACAATATTTTCAAATATTTAATACGAGATTTTAAATAATATAGTTTAATGTTCGTTTGATGTGGGCTTTACATGCTTACTGAATAGCTATCTCGATATTATGATCTGACTTCAGTTCTACCATTTTAACCTTGCTTGTATACTTATGTATAGTGAGTCAATAATCCCATTCAAGCCTAACTTCAGAATTTTGCTTATTCTTTTGCTTTAACTTTAATGTCTAGGAAATTATGTTAATATAACATTACCAAAGTTAATACGAGTGAACAGCGTAAGGAGAATATATAAATTTATTTCGATGTATTATTACACTCGCAACATTAGCATACCAGAGTAGGAATGAAGACATATAACCAAATACTTCAGTTTGAAATCCGGACATTATCTTAAAGCGAATATATTACGCTTTGGAAATCTATAACTGTACATTTTTACACAAATCATTAGGGCTCATGTTTTTAGCGCATTTTCTCATTTATGGAAAAAATGCACTATTGTGCCCACCATGTCCGTCTGTCTGTCTGTCGGTCTGTCTGTCTGTCCGTCCGTGACCTCAAGTTTTCGTCGACGAGAAAATGCGCTCTCTGTCACTCACTGCAGTGAGTACAGAGTTATATTTTTTTTTTCAATACCAGGAGCGTACTTGGAGAACACAAGAACTAAGGACAGAACACTTTCAGTTGGAGTGAACGACACGCTCATGCAGTGTACCCGCTGCTCTCCAGGCTGCGACTCCTGCAACAGCACAGCCCCCTGTCTTGCATCCTACAACTGGCCCTTCAGGTAAACCTCGACTAAACTTTGAAGAAATACCGTGCAAAATTAAGTAGAATTAAATTTAAATTGCAATGGAATTAATCTATACAGGCAAAAATTTCAAAAGTTTGATTGCACACAAGATTAAATTAAAAATTGAAAAAATATGTCTAAATTTTCGATTTAAAATCAAGGCATCGTTTTCAAATATCGCATGGTAAAAGATAAGATCAATATTTTAATTTTACACATATATCAAATTTTGGAAATTCAAGAATTGAGTTTGCTGAATTCCACGATGGAAAAATTCTTCGCCTTCATTTGTGCCAGTGGAGATGAGGACAGAAACGCTTGTGAAAAAGCTTATTTTTTTTGGAAATATATTCGCTTTATTGGAAAGTACTTACTAAGGTTCTGAGATGAATGACTTTTAATATGATGATCAAAAATAATTCAAATTTATTTTGGTGCTCGCTCAATCTTTTGCATTCTTTTCATATGAAGTGAATTAGTAGTCATTATTTTAAACACCTTTACTAAATTATGCATTACATCAGGTTATTCCAGGTACACTATGCGTTTCATCATTATAATAGCCTATTTTTGCATCAGTAAATCATATTATTCTGAAGTGAAGTTACTTAGATCTATTAATAACTTCATTGAGCCCACACATTAGTCATCTGTTTTAATGTTGATTAGTTTAAAAATAGGTGTTTTTAGCGCATTTTCTCATTTATGGAAGAAAAAATGACGCTATTGTGCTCGTCCTGTCCGTCCGTCTGTCTGTCCGTCTGTCCGTCTGCCTGTCCGCGACCACGCTTTCGTCGACGAGAAAATGCGCTCTCTGTCGCTCACTGCAGTGAGTACTGAGTTATAATTTTTTTTACAGAATCGCTCTTCTGTCGATCTCAATGACATGTATCGTGCTGACGCTTGCTCTCATGGTTATCGTCTACCGACTTCAGAGCGTTCAAGTTTTCAAAATGGCATCCCCGATATTCCTTTGTATATGCCTCATCGGTTGCATCATCATGTATTCTGAGGTATGAATTCAGACGTAATAAATATTAAACTTAATAATATTAAAATTATTTCATCGCTTAAATTTTAAATTTACCGAGAGAAGTGATATGCAAAGAAAATGCCGAGAAAATTCTCCACAATTCTTAATTTGGGTTTTAATCTCATCCGTGATAAGTTAGTGGCTCAATTAATCATAGAAATATTATCGAGGGTTTTGAAAGGATGATAGAGCTCGTGAATTTTAGATGATCCATCCTTTAGAAAGAATGATAGAGCTCGTGAAACTGGGGTGAATTTTCCGGAGATCTATTTTGCTCCTTCATTCTAGGTAAACCTAAAAATGATATTGATAGATATTTGGAAAATAATAAATGAACGATTTTTTTAGTTAATTTACGCGATGGACGCTGTGCAGTTAACGCATCATTGTCGCAAACCTCAATTTTTATGATAATTTGTGGGAATTACATATACTGGGTCATTTAATTTAATTCTAGTTAGCATAATAAATTTGATTAAAGTGAGGAAACAGTGGCATCGGAATACCTTTCGTATCGGAACCAAATAAGCTATAGGTATAAAGAGATGAGGTTGATCTTCTTTCTTGCACCAAATGCTCTCAATTTTTTAGACTTAGATATAAATTTGATGGAAATTTCGAGAGTGAACTAACATTTTATAGATATTCTCAGTAATGCTCTTCATGGAGGAAATATTTCGACAAGAAGCAATATATTTCGTTTTGCGCAACCAAATGAGCTATATAAGAGAGGAGGTTGATTTTCTTTTTTGCACCAAAATGCTCTCAATTTTTTAGACTTAGATATAAATTTGATAGGAATTTTGAGAGTGAACTAACATTTTAGAGATATTCTCAGTAATGCTTTTTATGGGGGAAATATTTCGACAAGAAGCAATATGTTTTATTTTGCGCAACTAAATGAGCTATATAAGAGATGAGGTTGATTCTCTTTTTTGCACCAAAATGCTCTCAATTTTTTAGACTTAGATATAAATTTGATGAAAATTTTGAGAGTGAACTAACATTTTTTAAATATTCTCAGTAATGCTCTCCCTTGATTTGAAAAGATGGCAGCAATTTTTCCCGTGTTGGATCGGCCATCCTGCATAGCCACCAAATGGACGCGTCATATGGGCTTCTGTATAACTTTTTCATCATTGCTGATGAAGACTTGGAGGTGAGAAATTTTAGGGAAAATTCATCTGAAATTCATTTTACTTGCATTTAACATGAGAAATTATATTACGAATAACTCTTCTAGAATCCATTTTAATTGCATTTATCAGGAAGCTTTGTAACGCAACTTTATTCATTTTCACTTAGATATCTCCGTTGGTGGAAACGGGTAGTGAAGATTCTGTCCTATCAACAACTTTTTTGTTGTGGGAGTCAATCCCATCGATTACATATACGCGTAATGCCAGTGATATACCGAGTGATGGGGATATATCATGAATAGAGAATTATTCATAGCCAGCGATAATTGCAAAAGCTGGGAAAATTTCCAATAAAAAAGTAATTCAAATGTTATTTTGGGAAGACCCAACTCTCGCCATTCAAAGCTCCTTTAATAAGACTACAGCCGACGACTACACCGTCGGCTCGTTTGAGGTCGTTTAGAGCCGCCCTTAAAAGACTCAAACGAAGAAACAAGGATCGCTGCACTTGAACAAAATAATTCCCGAAATGCTGGAGGATTTTCTAGACATGAAATATTAAATTGGGCTTGCAATCTCTACATCCTTTACAATTTTGTTAACGTTTTTTTGAGTATTTAAACAATGTATGGAAACAATGTAGCATCAAAAATATTGCAGTTACTGAATTGAAATGCCTATTATCTCTAAATTTTTTCGTATTCTATATGCAAAACATACTGGTATAATATGAACAACGTGCTGATAATATAAGTCACCTGGATGTGATGGTGATGTGACATAATGTTAAAAGAATCTCTGATGGATTGTAATATCAAGAAACTAAATTCATCTTTCAACAATGAATTTACTAGTTAAAATGAATTAATTATTCTAGACAGAACGACAATTCAATTACTGCATTGTTTTTCTGGTATTGTACCCAATAATTTTTCCCTTAGCAATGAAGCAGTAGACAATCTTGATGCGATATTGATAAGAGTCTGGATTTTTTTCATTGGTCCTGAGAAACTGGGCCGTTGGAAAGGAAGAGTTTTAATAAAGCTGTCTTAATCCCAGGATTTGTTTGCTAATCGTGAACAAGTCAATCGATAATTTTCATGTTGTTTCCTGTTAGTTCACTGGGTAGGCTTGGCTAAATGTCCCGTCAACAATACTTTTTGTGTCTAGAAATTATGTTCACATCAATCGATGAGACGATTTGGTTCAACTGAAAGCAAACCATTACACTAATCATGACAAATGATCTCCGTGTTTGTTCTATAAAATTAAATTTATCACTTAATCAAAAAATGCATGCAAGATAACAGCACTGAAGAGTTCAAGTTTTAGGGAACCGTATCTAAATATTTTTTTTTAATATTTTGAAGTGTCAATATATAGTCTTTGAACCCCAATTTATTTTTTTCAGTGCTCTACTTCACTTTTTTTTTATTTATTACTCCTGCATTATTTAAATTCAAAACCCTAACTCAGATTTCCGTTAAGTATTTATCTTTTTATCAGAGTTTCGTTGACCTACCGCGTGAAGTCGGCTCATAAGCTGAAGCTTACGGACAACCAGCTGCTGCACTGGCTGACCCCCATCCTATTGATTATGGTCATATACTTGGGGGCCTGGACTATAAGTGATCCACCTGAAGGCTACGTAATCAAGGACAACTACAATCTCAAGTTCAAGATCTGCACCTACAATTGGTGGGATCATTCATTGGCCCTGGGTGAGTTGCAATATTTCAGTGGAACAGCTATGAAAATCTTTAATTTTTCAACCACTAAATTTCACCAGCATTTTAAAATGCTAAATTGGATACCAATCTTCAAAAACCTATCGGTCGATGTTGAAATAAAGTGTGGCGGTGTTCATGATCATTAGCTTATATTGAGTGGAAGAAGAGTTTGATCAGTCGCCTAATCTTTATAATTATAAATTATAGAATCAATTTATGTTTCTATTGCTAATAATTGTTTCCTATAAATCTAGTGATACGTTTCGAAATAACGAAAAATATTTCCTATTTCCAATGTTGTTACTCTTAACCAGATTTATGCTTGAGAAAGAATAACGAGCTATCCTTCAGAAAATGATGTTATTCCTGTCCGGAAAAATATAAAATATATATTTAGAATTGATTGAATTGAAAAATAATCTAACTATGTAATAACTGTTGCCACATTTCCCCTTAGCTATGATACTCGTCTTGGCATGATGAATGATGTTTAGCATTGTTTATATAAATGTGAATTACGAAAGAAATTCACTTCAAATTCAATTCAAATTCTTTCGTAATTCAAATTCAACAGAATTCAAATTTTGCCTCAGGTGAGATGCTGTTCTTGGCCTGGGGAATGATGTTTAGCATTGTTTAAATAAATGTAAATTACGAAAGAAATTCACTTCAAATTCAATTTAAATTCTTTCGTAATTCAAATTCAACAGAAATAAATTTAATTCTTCAAATTTCGCCTCAGGTGAGATGCTGTTCTTGGCCTGGGGAGTGAAGGTCTGCATTGTTTATATAAATGTGAATTACGAAAGAAATTCACTTCAAATTCAATTTAAATTCTTTCGTAATTCAAATTCAGCAGAAAGAAATTCAATTTTTAAAATTTCGCCTCAGGTGAGATGCTGTTCTTGGCCTGGGGAGTGAAGGTCTGCATTGGAGTGCGCAAGGCCGAGAGTTTCTTCAACGAAGCCCGTGTGATTTCCTACGCGGTCTACAACATCACTGCAGTCAACGTGCTCATGGCGAGCGTCCAGTGAGTTCAACATCAACATCAGCCTCTTATTTTCTTTGAACATATAATAATTTTATTTATTTCGCTGATTCTGTAAAGACATTCGGTTATTAAATGGAACTGGTGATAGTTTCGAAAAAAATTTAATTTTTTGTTAATGAAGGCTGGAACTCACGAGAAGATTGACGCAAACGGGTGTAAATGGACCTTCGATATTTGTTTCGTTACGGAACACGGATTCAAAGAGTTTGACTCAATTGAGGAAAAATTGGTATCTGGTGTTGGGAAAATGCACGATGTAAGATGGAGCGCTATTCTTCAGCCAAAATTTGACAAACATATCTAACTAAATTACATTTTGGACTAATATACAAACTTTTATGTCTTTGCATTCGGAGTGCTTTTAGCAGAAATTTGTTCGTTGTTAACTTCGAAACGAGAAGTTTGAGTGTGTTCTGGGCTGTACCTAATACAGGGTAAGAATTTGTATTAATTATACATGTTAATTACGCATCGAATTTTGTCGTTTAAAAGCTACCATAAGTTTTAGGTAAAATGAAACTGTAAAAATAATTCTGATAAAACGTTCTTAAAGTTATTTTCTCGGATCACACAACCAATGGGAAGTAATTTTTCTATAAAAGCAACAAATTGTAACTGCATATAAATAAGTCCCAAGTATAATTATTATTCCTGCATTCAAATTAATGGAAGATCTACCAATTCATTTTGCACTTGAATAATTTTAATTTTAAGGACATAATCTTTCGAGTTACATTTGACAATTTGACGTCTTGCTGCATGATATTTCCCATGGCACTCAAGCAGAAAATATTAAATATTGGAATTTATGGAGCATGTAGAGGATCAAAATGATGAATTTTTATGATAGAGATTTTCAGGCTTTGTTTGATTTTTCGAAGTCTGATTATTTCGTTCTCGAAGAGTCTGATTATTTCGTTCACGAAAAGTCTGAATATTTCGTTCCCGAAGAATCTGATTATTTCGTTCACGAAGAGTCTGATTATTTCGTTCACGAAGAGTCTGATTATTTCGTTCACGAAGAGTCTGATTATTTCGTTCACGAAGAATCTGATTATTTCGTTCACAAAGAGTCTGATTATTTCGTTCACGAAGAGTCTGATTATTTCGTTCACGAAGAATCTGATTATTTCGTTCACAAAGAGTCTGATTATTTCGTTCACGAAGAATCTGATTATTTCGTTTACGAAAAGTCTGCTTATTTCACAAATTTTCAGCCTGTTTCTGGCGCCCAACGCTGGTCCCGACCTGAAGTACATGTTTGGCTTCGCTCGTACTCAGCTCAGCACTACTGTGACCATTATTCTCATCTTCGGTCCTAAGGTAAAACATGCACATCAGACATTCTTAAACTAATCTTTATTATAAAGTGTATCGTGAGCATTAGTGCATTGTAAAGTCTATTAGTGTAAAGTGTATTCCTGAAGTGTATCTATACATCGCAATTACCACATTTCTGCAGTCAGAATTGTGTATCTTATACTTTGCCAAACAAAATGATTCTTATTTTGGTTAAGTTATCGTATTAAATTTCGTCAACCTTACATATGAAAAGTACCATTTTATTTGTTCTTAATCGTTTTCAATCACATCGCTATTTCTAAAATCAGCATAATTAAGGATAAAAAAAATTATGAACACATTTTATCCAGTTATGACAGACTTGTCTCAGAACTATAAAGTTATCCCATTCATTATTGCATCGACTAATGATATTAACTCATTGGTACATCAACATGAACAAAATTTAAAGCCAAATTAATCAAAATGGTATTACGTATATTGTTCATTTTTGTATTTTTAATGATGAAATTCCGTTAAACAAATGACAACAGCAATGAATAATTTGACCTTGTTTAATTACAATGTATGTAGGTAAGATAGTATTGAATCCTATTCTTTTTAACCAGTAAGTAACATAATATTAAGAAAGCATAATACAGACAGTAAATTTTCGTTCAGAAAAACGGTTTCAAAAATATTAGTGGCAGGGACCAAACAAACTCCACGGACTATACTTCCCGTATTTCGTTTACTCATGAGTGTCCGCCGATAAAATGTTTGAAAGTTGAGCCTCAAAATGAAAAGATACTAACGAGATATTTAAAACATTGAATGCATAATTTAATCATTAAAAACTTAAATCTTTGCAAGAGTAATATTATTATGGAATTAATAATCAAAGTCACGTAACTTAGGCAGTCACCGTCGGCAGAAAAGCAAACATGGTTCAAGGCTCGAGCTAGAATTTATAATTTAGAGCTTTACTAACTTCTTTATCAGACATAATTTGTTTTGATTTTAAGCATGAAGTGATTTGTGTCAAATATTCCTATTAATTTTCATGATTAATTTGAGATCGTGTGATACATATATATATATTTTTCTCACAAAACCACCAACCTAATATTTTTTGTAGCTACCATATCATTTGTGCATTGTAAAGTAGTGCATTTACAATGCACTTCAATTATTCCACTCAGAAAATTTGGCATAATGAAATATTGTCATTACAGTGTAAAAGGAAAATTAGACATCTCCCAGCACCCCCATAAATAGCAACCGAAATTTTATAAATGAATTGAAAAAAACTCGGTAACTGTGCCTGTACGAAACAAAAAATTTGTACAAAATTTTCAGTTCCTGCATATCGCGCGTGGCACGGGAGACCAGCTGGAGCGCGGCCACACTCTCACCCCGAGCTTCTCCCGCAACGGCCTGGGACTGCCGGCCGACGAACACGCTGTGCCTCTGGACCAAGAGAACGAAGAACTAAAGGTTTCTATTTATTTTATTATCATAAATATGATGAGTAGGTAATACATTTACAAACTCTTAATTCATATTATAAAGGTAATTAGTAATGAATGCATTTATAAGGTATGATGAGGAAGACAAGGAGGAATATGAATAATATCATCTATCACGATGAATGATAAATTTGTATATGACGTTTGCATACAAAGCGTATTCCAAAAAAAATCAATTTTTTATTCACTAAGAATTATATTCAATATAAAATGCTCCAGAGAATAGAAAAATATACAAAATATACAAATAAACTGACAGAGGTATGTATTACGGACACGTTATAGGTTCATTTGGTTCAACAATTAACAAATAGCAAAAAAGGACTTTTGGTATACTCTTTAGGTATACCGAATGATTTAGCTACAGGATCGAAGCGTAAAACTTGACTATATATTTCAACAGGTTGAAACAAGGAACACGATTCAGTGCATTTATTTGATTGAACATTGTAGAATTATTAAAATTGTTAATGTTATTACTAGTCATGTTAATTGCAAATATTCAACAGGAGGAGATCCAGAAAATGGCAGCTCAGATGGAGTTCATGCGCATCGTTCACATGGAGGTACAGAACAGACATCTTAAACCCAAGCCTGGGGGTTACTTCAGCGAGAAGGGAGGCTTACTTGCAGTGTGCAACACCAACTCAACCCTACTTGGCAAACCCATGAGCCGCAACACGGCTGTGTCTGTTGTCACCAATAAAACCCTTCTTGAACCCTCAGATGGGTCAGTGCCTCTCGTGACGGTTGAGTGCAATAATTCGGTCGGAGGGGTTCGAACCACCGCCAACAGGAAAGAAAGTTTGGCAAGGGGTGCCCTCAAATTCGACTCCAAAAACGATGAGCTAGAAATGGTCAATATCAGAAGCAATAACGCTCCCTCCTTTCCTGCCAAAGTTTAGAAATTTAATTTTGTATTTCAGCCATTGAGATTAGATTAATTTAACGATGAGAGATTTTCTTAACTTCTACAAATGACATATGTGTTCAACTTACTTCTAATGATGTATTATTTTTATTGATTCCTATGTGAAAAATATTCGTTTTCTTTTTGCTTTGCAATAATTTGTAATTTTTTGTTTTAAAACTGTAAATATGTTGCTTGATTTAAAATTTCGGATCCATTTTCATATCCAGTTAGGTCATGTAAATCCATTAATTCCCACTTACTCCTAATTCCTAAAACTCCATTGACTTTTGCTTCTTGCTCATCGAATAATTTACTAATACTCCCCTCCTCGCTAGTATGATTGTTATGAGTATTTCAACGTTGCTTCTCTTACGGCACAGTTTTTCGCTCGCTGCATAATCATAAGGCTTCTTTTTAAAAATTGTCTTAACTGTTAGCTTGAAGTCCTAACCCTATGACGGCCTTCAATTATAATTTTGATCCTGGAAAATCTGAGTTCAGCTTTCTTGCTTGCCTGGTTTTCAATCACACATTATTTATATTTATTTGGAGTCTTCTTATTGGCAATTAATACCTTGAAACCTTTAAAAAAATAAGCTTTCATAATCCAAGATAAATAATAGAATAATGACCGGCTTGTAATAGGTATCAGAACTTCGAGTCCCTCGCCTTTTCCCTACTTTATTGGAACGCTCGATGGTAATGATTAAGATACGTGTTAGATTTTGTGTGCTAGCTTAGCGATTGCGTCTTACATTCAAACTTTTACCATCCCTTTAATCCGTGAATTACAGTGCCAATCACGCACCACGCTACTGTGGGCAAGTCTTGTCCTGATAAATTTCTTGCCTTTTGATCCCTTTCGTTTGTCGACCAGTAAACTTATTATACTTTTCTGAATATATAGATATCTTCTCCTAAGGAAATTTTAAACAAAACTTAACCTGTCTTTACGATGCCTTTTCCGTTCATATACATACATTTCTTGTCAATTTCGTTTATGATTCTTCGGCTAGTAAACTTACCATACTACTTACACACTTTTGTGAATGGAAATCTTTATTCCAAAGAAATTTTTAAACAAAACGTTATCCGTCTTTATGAATTCTTACTCGTTCACCTACATTTACTGTCAATATAGTTTATGTTTCCTCGGCAAGTAAACTTACCATACTACTTAGACACTTTGTGAATGGAAATCTCTATTCCAAAGAAATTTTTAAACAAAACCTTACCAGTCTTTATGAATCCTTACTCGTTCACATACATTTACTGTCAATATAGTTTATGTTTCCTCGGCAAGTAAACTTACCATACTACTTACACACTTTTGTGAATGGAAATCTCTATTCCAAAGAAATTTTTAAACAAAACCTTACCAGTCTTTATGAATCCTTACTCGTTCACCTACATTTCTTGTCAATTTCGTTTATGTTTCCTCGGCAAGTAAACTTACCGTAGTACTTAGACACTTTGTGAATGGAAATCTCTATTCCAAAGAAATTTTTAAACAAAACCTTACCTGTCTTTATGAATCCTTACTCATTCACCTACCTTACTTGTCAATTTTATTTATGTTCCCTCGGCCAGTAAACTTACCATAGTACTTGAACACTTTTGTGAATGGAAATCTCTTTCCTAAAAAATTTGAACTGAGCGTTACCTGTTTTAATAATCATTATCCTGTTCCTATCGTGAATTATCATGCGTAGATTTATTACAGTTAACACTGCTTCCGGAAATATCTGTACCATTTGTTATTGTACCCTCTTGTAATTGTCAAATTAACCTAATTTTAATGGATGAAGGACCTTTCTTAAGCCTTGTCCTAGAATTAATCATTTTTAGTTCAGGATATTATGATAAGGTTACGGAGACAGAAAATCCTTTAACTATTCCACTCAGAAAATTTGGCATAATTAAATACTGTTATTAGAGTGTAAAAGAAAAATTAGACATCTCTCAGCAACCACATAAATAGCAACCGAAATTTTATAAATGAATCGAGAAAAACCCGGTAACCTCATAGTGAATGATAATGTTATACATCAACTTTTTTACCAATTTATCACCAAATGCGGTTAATTATTCCTCAATGAAAAGTCTCAAGCTATTTAATAAACGAATGGAGTTGTCAGCGGCTTGTGCGGCGATTAGGGGCTGTGAATAAAACATCTTGTTAAGTAATATGTAAGTGGTGTTCACTTTTATTTCATAGTCAAGTAATTGTCGGATAAACATTCTTTCATACAGAGTCTCATTAAAGAATTTTGGATGATCATAAGATCGTTGTCTTCAATAATATAGTGAAATATTCATCAATCTCACATATTTTCAACAGTTATTATATTGTAATTATTTATACATGTCGTGCCGACATCGCGGAATTGCCGATTCTATGGAATCGGCAGCCAGTTTACTGAATCTGTAGAATCAGCATTTCTATACTTTATGAATCTGGGGTTAGGTCAGTCAGCCAAATTTTCTTTTTTAACATTTATATATAAAGGAACTTGACCGAACTTGACCGAACCGTTTCTAACTAACTGTCGATTTATGTTCTAACTCTAACTTGTACGATTTTCTGAATCAGCAACGAAATGCTGGTTCTGCCGATTCGCCAAACTGGCTGCCGATTCCATAGAATCGGCTATTCCGCGATTTATGCGTGACATAAATAAATGTAAAAAAATATATACTAAAAGTCATAAAATATAAGACCAAGGAGTAATTACTGAACTAGCATATTTGGAAAGACGTAGTAATTTCTTTGTTCCCTTCCCAATATTATCTTGTGTAATTTTGAGAAGTACTTGCCAAACTTACATTGAGTCGCAGGTGTAATTGCCATTATTTGCCAGTCGCAGACTGTAATTGCCATTATGTTAGTTTTTATCATCATTAAATGTTTTGTTATAGTTACACATCGGAGCTACATTAAGTGGCTGACAGGTGTCTACTATTTTAATTTTGTGCTGACAAAAATTTCTACCCTCTGTTGAGTTAATTTGATGACATCATTTAGTGTAAGTCATTAGCTTTTGGTTGTTGTTAAGGTCTGTGAAACTTTCTTTACGCCAAGCTCTATATTTATTTATCATTTTTCATTTATCTTATCTCATTTATCTTAGCTTAGGTAAATCCCTTGATTAATTTTACTTCCTTTTAAAACTCAGATAAATGTTACATTCCTTCCCTCACCACGAAAGCAAGTACATAAGAATGCATATTCCTTTTTAATTCAGTGAAGATGTTTTACTAAACGTGTTTCTAAAATTCAGAGCAAGGCAAATATTTTTCGTAATACTTCGTAGTTTTCAAGTTCCATACTGACACATGTAAACATAGTAAATGCTTTCTTGGTGAATTACATTTGAACTACACGGTTACAGTGCGATATTTAACGATCAACTTGATTTGTTTTGATTTAAATGGCCTGTCCTGCCGCCATTGCAGTGACCGAATTATGCGGGATGGATGCAAGTTGGAAAAATTCATTCAGATAGAATTCAACAAATAAACGATTTTTTAGCGACAACTAAAATTGTTGGCAGGTGATTGATTTGTAAATTAAATAATAAATCATAATTTTTAGTGAATGATATAAGACTGCCGCCCATGCTCTGTTCTTGATGTTACCATTCCGTGTATAAATTGTTGAAAATAAGAAAGTGGATCCGAAATACTATACTATACTATACTATAGTATAGTATAGTATAGTATAAACTATAGGATCTCCGTTGCAATATAATAATTACATTATACTATACTATTATTAACATATATACCCAGTACTACTAACATATACCCAGTCAAGCCCTCCGTTAATACCGTTAGAGTAATAAACAAATTGGCAAATTTAAATACATGAATGAAATTTTGACTCGAGTCAAATGCGAAGTAGTGTTAAGAAAAGAGAGAAAATTTATCTATTAGGCATTTTTTCTATGTCCGTGCTTACTAAATGTCCTTATTTTCTACTAGAATATTATTTTTGCCATATCTGTATGTTATTAGTGCATTTTACCCAAATGAATGTTAGATATTCGCCATCTCAATGTCTTGATGTGTCGTTACTGTTACGTGTTTTAACTAAAATTTTTGGACGCCAAATGGGAGTTTGGGCAATGGGCAGTACAAAAACTTTTGGCCGCAATTTTTCTAACGTTTATTAAAAATAAATCAAAAGTAAAATTATGAAAGATACTTTGAAAAAATATAGTAAAAAGCTTCTAAGGTTATAAATGAACCGTTACTGCCTTCGGTCGTTACGAAAAATTCAAGCTCAAATATATCGGCAGTGTAAAAATTTCGACTTCAACGTTCACATTATATAATTGGAAAATTGACAGGAATGAGTTAATTCATGGGCGTTATCAGAAAAATGAATTCTAGCGCAATGCATTTAATGTGCTGCTTGAATTAAGAATTAATGAAGGTGATATTAATAATGCTGATACCTATGAAATTGAGTAAAGAATAAACAACATGATGAGACTGCTTGCATAAAACCTTGATCGGAGCTCTGAGTGCTTCTTTATAATAAAATTTTAGCGCTCACTTCCGAGGAATAAGATAAAAACAATAAGCTCCATTGTATGAAAGGACATCTGCGATCTTAGGAAGAATTGATGGCATTTCCTCGTGAAGACTTGATCGTGTAAAGAATTATCCACTGTAAGAAGAAACGCTTTTTGTATGTGCATCTTAGGTCTTGGGTGGATTAGTGACATACCATGGCCTGGTTCAGCCGAGACTCAAAACTACTCCGAATAGTTAAATGTAATTCTAATGAGACGAAATTTCAAATTTCACATAAAATAATCCATCCTAAAATATTAAGTTTATTCCAATCTAGAGAGTTTTCTCGTACATTGTATTTTGCTCACTTTGATTCAACATCTGTTTAAGTCAAGTCTGGAGTCAACATTCCCAGTGATCAATTCGATATTACTTTAACAAATCTTTAAATAACTTGCTTCAGCAGTAAAAATCTGGACTCAAATTCATCACTTAAAAGTTAGATTAATATCTTTTCAAACAAATGTACCAATTTATTAGATCTAAACACATAATATAACGTATTGCGTCAAATCTAAAGTTACGCAATATGAAAATTTTATTGGCATCTAAAATTAATATTAAATATAAATCAGTGAATAGGGGCAATGGCACACAATTTGATGCAAATGGAACTAAGATGTTGATTATCCCTTTCAATTACTGATGTATGACATGAGAAAGTAGGAGCAAAACTATCTACTTAATTATTTTGTTTGTTGAAAATGTGTTGCAGAAACAAAAGGGAGGAGGGAAATCTGCTGTTTCCTTTCTATTCAGAAGTTAATTCACTTATCATTGCTTGATTTTGTCATGACAGCGCTTGTTTAAGACTCATCATCTATTAATGAGTAGGTATACAGACAATTTATTTGTAATGCTTAAAAATTTTGATCGGCTCTTCAAAACAGCGCTGGATTGAATTTTACGATTTTGTTAAGTTAATAAAACTCGTGAATCCCTAGTTTCATTATTTAATTGCTTTCCTTTCCACAAAGAGCCTACTTGACGCAATATAGCTTTAACTGCATTCTCTCATAACATCGAATTTAAAAAAAGTAGCCATCGTGGATATTAGCGTTGCCGCGTCACCAACTAACGAAAAAAATATAACTCAGTACTCACTGCATTACGTGACATTGAGCGCATTTTCTCACCAACGAAAACATGAAGTCACGGACGGACAGACAGACGGACGGACAGACGGACATGGCGAGCACAATAGTGCATTTTTTTCATAAATGAGAAAATGAGCTAAAAAGAACTGATGAATCAAACCAAAAAAACTGACGAGCCAAGGAACCTACAAACTGCTAACATAATAATATAATATAGCGGTTTCAGCGTTTATTAGGCCGTAGGCCTGTCGTCGATTCTTAACATAGAACATTCACAGCTTGTTGCAGTTTCGAACTCACAACTTGTTGCTCCAATTCCGCTTTGCTTAACCGCCCGGCCTCCTCGCCGATTCTGACCAGAAACTGGCGCACAGACTGGGATCGAACCCGCACCTCACTGCGCCAATCTTGGTACTCTGAACTATGTAACCACTGGGCCACCAAATGGCGGTAGAACCAAAGAACAAACAAATCTAATTACACAGATAACCGTGAGATAGCCACCGGCAACGTGTGTAAATAACACGTTTGTAACGTGGGCATGTAACGAAGCCGTAACACGTAAAACGTCCGTGACGAGCACGTAACACGTCCGTAATGTGCACGTACGTCCGTAACGTGCACGTAACACGTCCGTCACGGACGTCTTCACGTAGTCTGCCCGGAACGAGCACGTCATCGAGTATGGCTTATTAATATGCAATGTTTTAACTAAGTTTCGCATGGGAAAGAAAATTAATTCTGAAAATTATTTTGAATTTAATACCTTTAAGGGGATCGACCTAGCTAAAATTTTCAATTTTGGCGTTTTTCGGTTTTTGGGCTCATCTGAAAGCTGGAATTCTGCTCTTTCCAATGGTACCACTGCCATCTCTCTACACTTTACGAATCGAATGATACGTGTCTCGATGTTGTAGGATGATATTTGTGGGAGGAGATAGATTTTCTGAAGTACCCCTTTTTAGCCGTTTTCTATGAATTTCACGTTTTCTATAAATTTTTTCGAAAAATACATAGGAGCAAAATGTTTTTCTTTTTACATTTTACGTATGTATGTGAAGTTTCATGACAATCGGATAATAACTGTAGAAGGTTTCAAAATGCTAGGTCGATCCCCTTAAAAACAAGATAAAAATACTATTTAAATGTTTCTCATTCTGAGTGTTACAACATCCAAATGGTAGGTAATAATAACAAAATATGATGCATTGTGCTGATCTGTTTTATGTTAGCATGACCTAAATATATTCACCAATGCTATACATTTATTTTTCTTTGACGTGGACGAATTAAGAGTATTTCGTTCTTAAAACATTGATAATTTTAATTATAAGTGGCAAGTTATTTCAGCTACAAGACTACCGTTGCATTGGCCGAAGTACGAGTATATTAAGTATATAATAAGTATATAATAAGTATATAATATAACCATTGAGGAAAGGCACAATAGTTACACAATTCAGCCAATATTTTCATAGAAAATGTGCAGCTATACTCTATTTTTTATTTCCTTAACAAAATGACGTTAACTTCTTCGACAGAATTTACGCCAATAATTATTTGGAATGGTTGCCGTCGACAACTTTATAGTTTCCTTTGAATAAAGTTGACGATGTAACTGCATTTCAAATCAAACGAACAAGCTTTGGTAATTTAATACATCAGGAATGCATAGAAGTAATGGTTGACATGACCGCACATAGATGCGAATAACTTATGGAATCATTTCTTCATAAATGTTTCATTATAAGGAGAAGGGACAGTAACTGAAAAATGTGCTAATGAAATATTATTAAAACTTAACAATGTCGAGCCTATATATTATATACACTGAAGCTATAACTGAAATTCATCACGCGCTGCATATATAGGACATATATGACGGATATATGAATTTATTGATACAAAATCTTTAGCTTCTGAACATGATGTTTAATACCGTTTCACTATAAAATATATCAGTTCAAATTTTTTTTTCTCAAAGATTCTGAAGTTGTGACCTCGAGAATAAAATACAAGTATATAATTCCACTTATTTGTAAATGCATGAAAATGGAATAGTTTTTTCCTCGATTCACAGTACAAGAAAATCACTAGTCCTAAATTTCGTAATTTTCATCTTACCAATAGATAGTATATTTTTATTATGGGCAATGTACTATACTTACAGCGCTGTGGACTAGCCTCATAATAGTTGACTTGCGCAACATCAATAGAATTCCAGGAGTCGAAAATGATCTAAATAAATTAGTAAAAATCAGGATATAAAACATTATAGAGAACAATTATCGGAGACACATGAAGGTTTAAGCACATTTTCAACATGCCCTTGGGTGATTGTGTACAAAATGTATTCTATACAAGAATACATTTTAAATCGTTCAGATAGCATACGTAGAGGTCGGTCGAAAACGTGACTGTCAGGTTTCGTTTCTTATGTTAATTATTCGTCACGTCAAAAATACACCCAGTCAGCGTATGAAATAAAACCATTAAGCATTGGAAGACTTATAAATTATTCAATTTTCATCTAATTTGCATTGAGTTAAGTGTAAAACGAATCAACCTCTCAAGAGATCAGAATTACTCCTAAAATTTGGTGAAATTGGAAGTCAAATGCTGTAACATGATTATATATAGTCAGAGACTCGTCGGGCTGAAAGATAACTCAAACTTGTGTTTAAAATAATAAGACTTAGCGTTAAAATATGAAATAAACATTCATTTAATAATACTCGAGAAATTGTGTATATTATAAAAACATATGGACGAAACATATAATGAGACGAGTCGACATTACGAAATTTATGCTAATTTGAAACGTTTCGATGAAGAGGAAAAAAATCGCGGAGGCATTGAAAAAGTATTCATACTTTATTGTGTTTAGTCGACGATGGTTCTAAACTGTTCAATAAAATCATTAGTCATACGTTCACATACATTGATATGTAGTGAATGGAAACTACATTTTTAATAATAAATAGTTTATATCGATGATGAATACGAATCCATCACACAGAACTAATTGATTAATCATTATAAAAATAATAGCCACCCGTTCTATGATCAGTCGACGATGGGGACATCACCACTGAAAAGCAAGGACCCAGACCTCAGGTTTTCCGCCTCAATTTTATTATGCTTTCTCCGCAGTTCCGGACAGAAAGGTTCCGCAGAAATCTTGATCGTCTTCTCGCTGTCCAATTTAATGACGGGCTGGCCTTGCTTGTGGCACATCACGATGTCTGTTGAATCTTGTTCCTTCTTCGACCTAATTAGCGAAGTAAAATAAAGCAGGAAGCTGACTTAAAATATTCTTTACAGTAATTAAAAAAATTAATAATAATAAACTAATAGCTTTTGTTTATTGCCAAGTTTGAAATAAATAAAGCTGAGAAAAAATAAATAAATACACCCGCGTTTAGAGAGTTCAAAGTTTTTTGATACAGGGATATTTTCGCTAGAATATTGCAATCTTAATAATAATAATAGTTATAAATATTATAATGATATAATCTAAATCATAACTAGCGAATAAATTTGTAATGTATAATTAAAAACAAAAATTCCCGCGATAGCAGTAAATAAATAACGTAAATTAAATGAAAAAAAGTTTAGAAAAACTATTATAATCTTTAGTTGTAGTTGTAATTTTGAACGTAACTTCAATGAAAACAAGCATAGAGAAACTTTAGTAATCTTGAGATACTAACGCGGAGTTGTCGGCAACGGATGGGGTGTCGAGAGGGGTGAGGGTGATGGTGGAGAGTTCGAGTTCAGGAGTGCAGAAAAGCACGCAGAACGTCAGTGGGTTGAAGACGTCAGGCTCGAAGTGCCAGCTCACGAGCGCGTCCACAGACCCACTCAGATCTTCTCCGTGACGTAACAAGAACGTACGAGAGCTACCGCGTCGGAAATTCAACGGCGATCTGAAATAAGATAATTTAACTGATGAAACTGATAATAATTGATAACAAATGGCAAACTATTCACTGATAAACTCAGATCTTTTCCGTGACGCAACAGGAACGTACGAGAGCTACCGCGTCGGAAATTCAACGGCGATCTGAAATAAAATAATTTAACTGATGAAACTGATAATAATTGATAACAAATGGCAAACTATTCACTGATAAACTCAGATCTTCTCCGTGACGTAACAGGAACGTACGAGAGCTACCGCGTCGGAAATTCAACGGTGATCTGAAATAAGGTAATTCAACTGATGAAACTGATTATAATTGATAACAAATAGCAAACTATTCATAAGCTAATTATCTATACAGTTATACTAGGAATTGTGTGACTATCTGTAGCTGTAAAGCAACAAAATAATTCGGGAGCGGCTACGTCAGAATGACTTGTATATATAAACGGATGATTTAAAATGTTGATAAGTTTAAATGGCTTCAAAATACAATCTATTTTCTTCACTTCCATTCACTATTTAGATGTTAATACTTCATTAAAGCAATAATATCATCTATTTTCTTCACTTCCATTCACTATTTAGATATTAATTCTTTATTAGAGCAATTATGTTTCTAATTCACTTCTCTGTGAGATGGAAGTCCCGGAGCTCGCCAGCAGGGGTGATGAACGTAACTTTGAGTCTGCCCCTCAAGGCGCCTCCCTGACGTCTCTCATCGGCCAAGGATACCGTCAGGCGGTAGTGGTATTCTGTGGTACCAAACTCCAGCTTCAGGTAGGAATACCATAAGGATAAGAGCCAGAAATATTTTTTACCGCCTGTTTGACCCAGCTTCAGGTAGGAATACAATAAGGATAAAAGCGCCAAAAATATTTTTTACCGTCTGTTTGACTCAGCTTCAGGTAGGAATACCATAAGGATAAGAGCCAGAAATATTTTTTACCGCCTGTTTGACCCTGCTTCAGGTAGGAATACAATAAGGATAAAAGCGCCAAAAATATTTTTTACCGTCTGTTTGACCCAGCTTCAGGTAGGAATACCATGAGGATATAAGCGCTAGAAATATTTTTTACCGTCTGTTTGACTAACAAAACTTTCAACTGCTTTGATTTTGTTAAGCGGATATCATTAAAAATTACAATGCAGTAAAGCTTCAATAAAGATGCAAATAATAAGTCTAAAAATCATTAATGTTAATAATAAGACTTAGAATATTTTTATCATAATACTTGTAACTGCAATGAAAGAAAGATATAGCGAAATACGAGATAACTCCAAAGTGTACCGCTCAAATTATTTTCTAATCAATGGTAAAGACATGAAAAGTCAATTTAGAAGCATTTAAAATTTTAAATCACCAACCGGAAGACTCTTAAATTCTAAGAAATAAAATTCAATCATTTCTAGAAAAAAATTCTCACATCCAGGCTCGTTGAAATATACGGTAAATATGACATTTGTTATTTTTTGTTTAGTCAAAGTATCTCAATAGAAAAATTTACAATAAAAAACTTATTGTAAAACTTATTGCCCGTAGGAAAAACGTTCGAAGACAAATTAATTCAGTAAGAATTATGAGCTCATTCAACAAGGTACGTACGTAGTGCTGTAGAAATCAAGTAAGCTCTAGTCATTGTTTGGTGGTAAAGCACCATTGAAAAAATTCAACCTCGTTGATAGCATTTACAGCAATAAAAAATCGACAGAAAGTAGAAATTATTTATTAAGTAATCATAGATTCCTATAAAATATAAGTAGAATAAACTAAGTAGTCACAAATCATAATAAATAGTCGTCATGTACGACATCCTCAAGAGATTTATAATATGCGACCGCTAATTCAGAGCATGGCACTCACGACAGAAGTCAGGTCCAGCTGACGTCGATAGGAACATTTTGACGTTTTCCCGGCCTTTCGGCTGCCATGAGTCAGCATGGATGCCTAATGGAGAGCAACCTAATTCGGTGTTGCAAGAGAAGCACTTGGCCTGCAAAAATTATTCATTAATAAAATAGAATTCGCGCTACAAATGTGCTGTCAAAGTCAAACATTTTGCCCGTAAAACCACTTCAAAGAATTCCAAATTTAGACTGATTTAGGTCTTATATAGGATTTAATAAGCTTAACCAATGTTGAAGAAAAGTTTGAATAGCTTTTGAAAGGATTTTACGAACACCGTGAAAGGACCACGAACTTTTAAAGTAACAAATGAGAGTAACTGTGAACTAGCTCCTTATCCTGCGTGGACTTACTTTCTCAAATTCGTCGTACGACTCGCAAGGGAAGGCCATGAAGGAGCAGGAGCCAAGCAGTGAGGCGGTGAAAAGTTTGCTCGCCCGTATGTGGTTGCAGGCCACGGCCTCCTTCTCCGCCGCGTCAAGGCCTGTGATGTTTTAAAAGAACAAACTAATACACAAATGGTACAGAACATTGACATTAATTGTGTGTACGCCAGAACATCATAGCCATGAAACCCACCTTTAAAGCTGCCCGTGAAGACTTATTTTCAAAAACTGATATTTTCAAAAACTGATGATCCTTATTTTCAAAAACTGATATTTTCAAAAACTGATGATCCTTATTTTCAAAAACTGATATTTTCAAAAACTGATGATACGCATTTTCAAAAACTGATATTTTCAAAAACTGATGATACGCATTTTCAAAAACTGATATTTTCAAAAAGTGATGATGAGCGAAACATACCTTCAATGATACCGGTTCCGTCCCTAAGCGCGGTGAGCGCTATTCTGGACAAGGAAGAACAGCCCGGTTGAACGCGTCCTCCGTTGGGGTAAAAATCTACGTGGCCGATGGGCTGCTCTAGGCCGTACCCTGCACTCCATCACAAGAGGCTATAGGTCTAAGATTTTTTAATATCATTGCCTTAAAATCCCTTAATATTCCCTTAGCATCAATTGCCTTCAAAATCAGGGAAGCCGATGATAAATTATATAATTGTCACTGACAGGATTAATTTTCGGAGAAAATCGACAAAAAAGTCTGCTTATAGGCGCTTGATAAATTATGATGTAAATTTCAGCGTAAGCCAAGCGTAAGGAAATCATGTTTGTCATAAATCACAGCTCTCCTCTTAAGCATTGGTACGTTATGCCTACCTTGCTTTAGTGTTTATAAACTCTGATGTCGTTCAATCTTCGTTTAACACTTCGTTCTGATTGCGCCTTACATGATATTCATGGTAGCTTATGAGCTATACTTTTTGCCCAACTGAGCACCGAGCTTTCAGCTTCTCTAGATCACCAGAAACGTTAATACAAACAAATGATAGCTGCGTCTGGTACAGATCCTATCACTTAAACCCAAGTTAATTGCATTAGGAGACCCAAGCTTTTCGTACGATTAAGGGTGCTTGACTATCTCAGCAAATTAAGGCTTCATTCGTTAACTTCACATAATTTTCCCTAATATTAGAAATAATGCCACAAGAATGATTCAAACCAATGAAAGCATCCATTTCAATTGGCGTGCAATGCTATAATGTTGGAAAGAGCTTGACAAAGCAGTGGTGATGAGGTCAAATTTTCAAGGAGAACGTTACTGAATAGTACGTAGAAATTGCATGGGCATCTGTAAATTTTCACCTGATTCAATGCAACTATGATGGGGTACATAGCCAACTATTTTCGTAACAAACATACAATTTGGAAGATTAATTAATAAAAATTAATTGATTAGAAACTAAATAATAAGAATTACTTAATTAAAAAATAATTAATAAAAATCAATTAGGTAATGAAAATCAATTAAATAATATGGAATATAAATTTAAAAAGATTAATTGATGTCGTTCACACTTCCAATGTGAACAGACGAGCCTGGGAGGTTTGTAATCGTGAATTTCCAATACTAATAAGCTACCTGCAAACTGCCAGGCGAGCGTGATGATGGAGTCGGTGTCTGTGTGGATGACATCGACAAAGGAGGCGTCGCTGGGGTCCAGACGTACAGAGGCTGGCATGTGCTGGAAGAAAGGCTCTGCAGGGTCGAGTCCTGTGATCCGACCAAGGCCCTTTACTCGCTCCCCGATGTGACCTTGAATTGAGAATATTATGAAATTATGAACATAATTTAAAGATAAACTGAATATAATTTAAATTATTGAATGGCTTAAAAATATAAAATGGTTTAGAATTAGTTCAATTTTAGAAAAAAACAAGGCATAAGGGACTGCCAAAAAGATAAGCAGTTTACGATTAAAAACATGAAAACTTCTTCACGTAACAAATGCTACAACTAATCCTAATATTAAACAGTTCCTATTATGCAATATGGAGCAATATTTTTATATAATAACAGGGGAGAAGCTATGAATAAAATTTATCCATCTATTAGGCATTTGTTATGCGCGAACCGAGGCAGTGTTTGATGAAGAGCAAATTAAAGGAAGTAAATTTGAGGGCAAGCTGAAAATATACAAATGTTATGTGTCAAACCGTGAAATTAGACAACTGTTATTACATTGGTTAATTTTTCGATGACTAGCTCCGCGACATCAAGCATTAAAAAAATCCCTAACACACTTGATGTAACTAATTATGATGGTGAAAGTAGGCCCGTAAAAACAAGTAATGAAAAATTTAAAGACTGACCAGCCATATGTGACCCTAAGGAGTGTCCGATGACGTGAACTTTGGCAGGATCTTGTCCCAACTTGAACTTGAGTGAGTTGATGAGGGCGGCGACTTCCAGTGCTACAACGCGGATGTTGGTAACGGCTTGGTGGTAGATCACCCTGGATCCACCAGACCAATCTACCGTGAACACGTTGTAGTCTCCGTGGTATAGCAGCCCGCGTACCATCTCCTGTTGGTTACCAGCCATTGGGGTCAATTCGGTCGTCGCATTCTTTTCACGTTTTCAATTCTCTAGAAAACCTACGCTAATTGCAAATTTAAACATAATAATCACTTTGCATGTTAAATGCAACCTAACTCGGCCGATAAATGATGTCAGAACAGCAATGATTTCCCTAAGTTAACAGATTGTTAATTAACTTGATCAACACTTGTTAGTGAATGAAGTTTTTGCATGTCGTATTTCAGTTATTTAAGTAATTACTTGTGATTAAACGTTTAGTACATCTTTAAGTCATTCATTTATATTGAAGCTTGGGAAGCTACGATTCTCGACCCTAGTATGTACCGATCCTCAATCGATTAATATTATTAAAGATATTCGATTTAATTCAAATAAATCCCAAAAAATTTTGAAATATTTTTGATAACGTTGTTTGATTATAGTTTTTAACTGCTTGGAGCTAACATTCTCACCTTGATCCACGTCGAATTTTGGTCGTCAAGGAAGCCGTGAACGATGAACTTAGTAGGATTTGTGGGGTTATAAGATGTATCCGTGATACGTGCCAATGTTCGACGTGTAAGTGGCACTCCATTTGTTTGTGTGCGAGTGTAGAGAGTGTAATGCGTGTTGATGGCATCACGTGTGTCAGGGGGAAGGTTTATTGGTCTGATGATGGGGTCGTAGAAATCAATTGTAGTCTCAAAACAACCTATCTTGCCGAAGCAGTGCCGTTCTTCGTGAAATTCATCGTTTGATTGCCCTGAAAAGTAATTGGTTAATTTCAAATTATCGTACGATTAACAACTACGAGTATAACTTTCAATGATTTTAAAATCACATTGAGAGCCAAACAATCTTTTGATGAGCTATTAGACCTCATGCAATCAATAAAAAAGTCACACATATAACAATTATGTAGTCATAGTTTTTATATTGATAGAATTTCATCATATCACATAATCAATTTTATTATCATATATAATTACGATCATCATTCGAATACTGAATGAATGGAAACTTAGCAATAAATTGTAATAAAACTTGACGACTCACTGCTCTGAGCTCCCGCAGGCAGAAGGCTGTTCAAGATAGGGCGGTAAATTGGGTCGACTTGTGCACGCAAAACGTTACCAACAACTGGCAAATTCCTCAAACTTTCCATCAGAATCCCGAAGAAACCCGAGGGTCGAGGTCGTGGTTCTCGGTTTGGTTTTGTGTGCTCATCAGTAGAATCTTTGACAAGTTGAAATTCAGAAGAAAATCCATAATTCTGATGACCAGAATTAGAATTTGGTTTCATCGTCGATGTTTGAGAGTAATTTGTGTGTCCAGATTTCTGTAGAAGCTCCAGAACTTTTTCTGCACTGAGAAGCTGTTGAACATGATTGGTTTGTTCATTTGGGAAACTTGTTCGGGTAAATAATTGATCGCGTTTAAACGAATCTTCAACTTTAGCTGATTGTGCGAGCGATGAGTTAAAAATTTCAGCTTGATTATTCGAGGTGAAATATACGTAGTGCACTTTGTTTTCAGGTTCGAATTTCAATAGCTGGGTATTTGGACTGTCGATGTTGATTTTTCGCGGCGTTGGGACAACATAATTTTTTTCACTAGAGACGCTTACGGAATTTTCATTTTTTGCATACGAATCTTTGGGTGAAACAAGCGTCTGATTTATATTGTAATAGATTAACTGAGCTGGTGATGAATTTACATAGTTCGAATCATAATTGGATGATGTCGCTTGTATAAGTTTCGTTTCTTCTTCGTTCTCATCTCGAGTTTGTGAAGTAATTGGTAACAAATTTCTATCTCGAATGTGAGAAGAAGTAATTGGTAAATTGGTTACCAGAGGCGTTTGTCCATCAGAGCTGCGGAAAAAGTCAGCAATCACAACTGTGTTCCCGAGATTAGGCTGACGCGTTGGTCGTACATGAGGTTCCCTCCCGCTGAACTCGGTAGCTTGACGCTCTCTTGCGGTTGAGCTTGGTTCCCGCTCGTCAAGATCACTAGACAACGGGAAGATTTCTTTTCTCTGTGCAATGAACTCGCTCAGAAAGCTGGCCTTTGATCTCAGTTCACTCGGCAAGGCTGTGGCGTTCGGTAGCAAAAAAATCGATGCTTGCAAATTGAATAAAGCCAGAAGCAGGGGCAAAAGTCTCAGTTTTGCCATGTCCGGAACTGTTGGGAAGATAAAAAGTATCTTAGAATACAGAAAGCCAGAGTAAAAATCAACCATAAATTATTATTGTACACTGTAATTAATTAAATGGCTCTCCTTTTAGCTATACCTTAAAAAACCAGTAGCGAGCAATTCATAAGTTAATGTTTTATATGACATTAATTGGATTAATGCAAATTAGGATTGCACTTAATTTGTTGATTGAATTTTTTAAAACCCCAGTAAGAACTAGACGATCAAAAGGACAATTCTACATCATTAAACTGCGTGTACATTAAAGCCTCAAGACTAATTTTAATACGTACTGTTAATACAATTATATATATAAGACTATAAATACAATTATCGTATTTATAAAGTGTGCAATAAGTGGAAGCAGGAAAGCCTCTACCGAACACGCGAATAAATTTTGAAACGTTTTTATTTCAGAATTCTGTTCTTGTATAAATCGTGACATCAATAATAACGGAGGATCTATTCAAAAAGCTCCTTCTAAATGAATTATGAACTGGTTACTCCCAGGCTTGTAGAAATAGAATTACTCATAATGCTGCCTGCATTGCAAAACTAACATGGCAGTTGATAATTGATAATCAAATTAATTGATAATTGATAATCAAAACTAATTGGAACTGTTTGATACCCTCAGTAAATGTGTCAGCGCCTGACGACAGTTGCGGCGCAACTGCGAACAGAAGCTGGTTCACTGCATGACTATAAAAGATGCAAGTCATCGAGTCGCAGGATGTCACCGGAAAAACAACGATCCGAGTGCATCCTAACATAAAAAATGCGAAAAAATTGTTCGAGCCTAAAAAGGGAAGTCATTTATTGAAATTTTTACTCCAGCATTACTTCATAGCGAAAATTTAGGTAATGTATACAGATTTGTTCATCAAATATTTAACGACAATGCCCCCATACGCAGAAAAAAATAAAATTTGTTTTGACTTTTTGGGACAGGGACGAATCGGTAACTTTTTTCAGAAGATACGAAGTATGGTATGAGGGAAACTTTAATTAACATCAAATCACACCAAGTAAACTGCTATAATTTATAACAAGTACGAAGTACCTATTCAGTTTTTTATATTTTTTTGCTAACATCAAAGCATACCAAGTAAATTGCTGCAACTTTTTAAAAAAGTATCAAGTTTTTTGCAACAGTGAATTTAATCGGATTACAGCATCAAGAGTTGCCGAGTCATGAACTGGGAGGTTTATTTTTAAGAGGCAACCAATGGACAACAACAGATCATCAAACGTACGTGACGTCGTCATTTTTAGACGAGCGCGCCTCATTGTCGAGAGACTATCAATTTTGTCCAATGATCGGTTCCAATTCGGTTTTGATATCGGTTAAAAATTTGTACACGACAGCGCTGAAATGATCGGTGTGTGATGAAAGTTCGTTTGTAGTTAAGCAAAGAATCGTTCATTTGTTGGGCAATAAATTTAATGTGTTTGTTCGCTAGTTAAAAAGTTTTAGAAGTAAGCAACATTACAGTATAATTTCGATATGTAACTATGTCAAGAAATGAGAAATCTAAATCGTTACGTGAAAAAAATTATGTGTTTCAAAACTCGATAAAAGTGAGGCAATTTAATATGTGCGGCACAAACTAATGTGCGTGTCAAAATTCAATATGTATGACGGAAATTTCTCTCATAAATTACATAAGCGTGCGGCAAGCATTCGAATAATTAAAGTGCTTGTCAAAATTCGGAATTAATAAATGCATAAAATGCCGGAATGCTTTCTCCTGACGTCATCATTTCAACAGCCGGTGCATCAGCAAGGCGAAAACATACCATGTGCATAAAACAGATGTTTTAGTAAAACTTGATCTATCAACTAGATACACTTTTATAAAATCCTAGATTTAGAAAGGTTGTTGTGGTGGATTGAATATAATTGAGAAAAGACGAGAAGGAATAAATGAGTACATAGTGAAAAAAAAAATACCGAAGCCAGACTAGAAAATAACTTAAAGCCGCAGAAAATCACAGCTCATCTACAGTTATGATAGTAATGTTGTAAGGGAAAATTGTGCTGTAAATAGGAAGGTATCTAAAAATGTATATAATAAAGTACCTAAGGTAAGCAAGAAATACATATAAAAATAACTCATGTAGTTCGCAAGTGAAACCTATCAGTAGTTAAGTAAATTATTCGTCAGCCAAACCAAATTATAAGTTGTTTCCAAACATATGAATTCATATGGTAACAAATTAACAGAATAAGCTCAAAAAATCGCTGAGAATCCGCCTGGATTCAAGCCAAAACGCATTTATTTCTGGTACCATAAGCGTCTTGCATGGAACTGATTTGCTATTGCGAAGAATACTAATAATAACATATTATTCTCTTTTAAATAAGAGGAAATTTTCGCACAAAATGTCTGTCAAATTAAATGTAAATTCTTTGATTAAAATTGTTTAAATTATATAGTTTGATTAGGGACTTTAACATATACGTAAACAATATTTAAACATCGTTATACAATGAAGTGAACAATTAGAGAGCGAGTCAAACAGTCAAAAGAAGATGCAGTGCAGAGAGGCTGGTGGTAGCATCAGAGAAAGCGAGAGCGGAGTAGTAGAAAGTTCGGACAATGTTACGTCACTTGATGCTGCAGGACATACACACGTAACACTCGACCAGTTTACACGTAACAATACTGGGCAAGTGGACGAGTGCTCGCATAAATTTCATCAGGTAATTTTAGTGCGAGAATACCGAAAAATCTTCACCATATATCCACGTGGCTATCGTTGAGAGTAATTTGTGTGTTCAGATTTCTGTAGAAGCTCCAGAACTTTTTCTGCACTGAGAAGCTGTTGAAAATGATTGGTTTGTTCATTTGGGAAACTTGTGCGACGCCTGCTAATCGCAAGTGACTAAATCTAAAAATTCATTGGAGTTTCAATCCAACGGGAAGCCGACACGAGTAAATGCAGCGCCTTATTGAGTACGTATAGATGTGCCATATTGAGTAAGTATAGAACTGATGTGCCATATGCTACAGTGACTGTTCAGTTATACAAGACAGTAATAACTGCTCTTCAGTATACAGCAGTAACGTACATTAGTAGCAGTTGGGCAACCTACAATAGTAAATGCTGTGAACTATACTGTTGTAAATGCTTAGGTCCATCGTTTAGTAGTAGTAATTATTGTGCAACATACAGAAGTAGCAAACAGATGTAAAATCCACTAGTAGCTAGATGCTGAACAATGTACACCATTAATTGCTGTACAATATACAGGAAGTACTGCTATAAGATACAAACACGTTGCGCTTGCACGGCATGCAATGCATCTGAAGAACAATGATTAAGCCATGCATCTCATACACGATATGCACTGCATATCACGCATGTGTACAATACAGCTAGTGCACGTAAACTAGAGATCGAGATCATTAAAGTTGCAAGGTTGTACTACTGAAAAGTAACGCGAAGGCAGCTAATTACTTGATGTCAGATTAAACCAAGTAGTGGTTATAAAAATTGTGAAAAATCAAAATACGGTATGACACTGAAGACATGCTAAAAGTTGGTGCTCTTATCATCGTTACGATGTGCTGGATGCCCAGCAGCAAAAAACTTGCTGCAAGAGAAAGCGAGTGTAAAGCTGAAAAAATGCGAAAAATCGTTTTTTCATCTGATCAGACTATTCTATATCAATCATTTTCAAAAACAAGTAGTTTTTCAAAACATAGTCGGTGAATAATAAATACTAATTATCTGCATTACTCGCAAAAGCGATGTCCGGTGTGGTCTCGTAGTTTACATTGAAAACAGCGAAATCGTTATTGATTAAGGACACCGAAGCAGTAATTAAAAGTTAGATATGTTTAATTAGATCACTTTCTTTGGCAAGTCCTTTTCAGTAAAACTACAATCATATTTATATATGTACCGTATATATGCAGGCTACCTATTGTAGTATTGATAATATTGCTAAAAGGCAACTTTTCAACGAGGAAAAAGGTTAGCCTGCGAGCTATACAAGCTATTCATTAAACAATAAATTAACTAGAAATTGTTTAAAATCAAGACATATGTTCAGTTCACCTTGCTAATCTGCTGCCTGCGCAATACAGACAAGAGGCTATGAACCTTGCGTCAAACCTAGTAAAAAATATTGCTTCATAATACCGCTATCAATATAAGTAGGCTGACATGTGACAAACCTTGTATCGACTCGATCTATAATATTGAGAAGCAAAACAAGATCATTACTCTGATTTGCAATGAAAGTATGGCGTCTTTGGATATATGGATGAATGTTTTCCAATGATTCAAGCAATAGTCAATAAGGCTTCACATGAACGAGTATTGTGAAGTATAACTATACATTACAATTCACAACCTAATAGTGAAATTTTCAAGATGAGTCATTCGATGAAAAACATAAATAATTCTTGCCGTAGAACTTGACTTCTCTTGTGCAATTCGCGGAAAAAGTAGTCAAGGTAGTCAGGCCGAAACTCAATTTTTTATGCAAATTGATGACCTAACGAAGAATGGATCAAACGTAACCCAGGTTGCGGCATACAGCAAAACCATCTATGATATTATGCCAGAAACGTCGCAATGCAGAGCATCTAAGGCCGAACTAAGAAAAAAACGCGACGAGGTCATTCTACCACGATGAGGTTTCGTAGCATCAACTCTGAGGATAGATAGTAAATAGCTGAAGAAAGCTACGAGGTCGTCGCTATAATGACTTCTCGAACGCGTGATAATACCGTAGTGGAAAGGGCTGAGACGTTATGCGATGATGAGGCAGATATCATTATAAACCAAACATTCCATGCATTATCTCTTAATAAGTATTTTAAGTGGTTTCAAGCAGTGAAAGTCATAACCCAAACATCAATATAATCCGTTGATGGTACCTCGGCACGGAGTCGTCATCGAGATAGTAACACCCGTTACAAAATGAATTGGAACACTATGTAAGTAGTAGTAGTATAATGGTTTACTAGCGCTTCAGCTATCAAGCTATTTCGCACCGGAGGTAAAAATGCAACATCGCCAGCAAGGCGGAAGGTCTCAATTATTCAAAATCTCAAATTAATCATTACCCTCAAAGGGTGGAAGGTCTAAATTGTCCAGCCCGCTGAAGCTGGCTCGAAGGAAGCAGCGTTAGCATCTCAAAGAGACGAAGTGACAAGGAGGGACAGGTGAAAAGCAACAGAAACGAAGACACTCGAACAAGAGGTCGCTTACACGGGACGTCGGCCGCCCGCACGAGAGAGACAGAGAAGGGAAATGTAAGGAATCCTACCTACATAATAACTTAATGCAAAGAATCCTACCTACATAATAACTTAACCCCACAACTGAGACCCGCAGTCAGACACCGCGAGCTCAGCGGTGGGGCGCTCAGAAACAATCCCCCTAGGAACGGGAGATCCCATAGGACTTCTGACGAGCACAGACACACTTCAGAAGTCCCCCATGAGGGGGAACCCTATGTAAAAGCTCCTAAAGGGCGACGGCGAACGCGGCGATATCAAAATTGGAACCTATATCGGCCGTATTGATGTCGCGCGGCAATGCCAAGATTGCACACTATCACGGCGTTGTAGTTTACAGTGTTCCGCCACGATGCTGATCCAATCTGAAATAAAAAATAACGTTAACGTTGGCGCCAAATTACCTGCATTCGTCAATGTTGGAATACAGCCGTTCACTACATCATTGCGCCCTATTAATGCACAAGCTATAGCCACCTTAGCACTGTTGTACGGCTGGCTGCCGGTACATGCAAATTGCACATGCGGGCCGACTACGAATATTGTACCGCCGAAGTGCAGCGGCACCTGAGATCCACGATGAACGGCTAAGGCCGGCGCCACAGCGACGCATAAACGCTGGCAGTAAGGATGTAATTAATTCGAGCTTTCCGGATACAGTACGTGCATATCATTCGACCGAGGTTTAGGTTCGTTCGAAAGCGTCTCATCGGAGTAGCGAAACTGGATATCGCGAGACCTACCACGTTTAGAGCGCAGCCATCGCTTGGTTGCTGAAGCATGTCTAGAGACAAGATTATGCTGTTATCCAAAAACAAGATCATTTGGTTGTTATGCTGCTTCTTTATTTTCAGTTTATAAATTTTCAAGCCAAGGTTTGCCATTCTTCTAATGTCATAAGAAGTGGAACATTATGGTGCATATATTGCCTAATAAATTGTTCACAAATATTTATCTTCTAGGTAATTAAAACATATTTCCCAAGAAATTAGTAGGTAATTTTCCAGAAGCAGTGCTTCATCGTCTTTCCAACATAGCACATAAACTTATACGCAGGGAATTAAACCTTCGTTCTTACGCCGATCGAGAGCCTGCATGGGCTGCCATGAGACGACGCAAAAGCTATGCGGTGACAACGTCGGAGCTCGGTGATATCATCGGCGGCAGCGGTGCTTCGCGTGACGACGGTGGTAGCGGTGGTGTTCGGTGGCAGCGGTGGTATTCTGTGGCAGCGGTGGTGTTCTGTGGCAGCAGTGGTGTTCTGTGGCAGCGGTGGTGTTCAGTGGCAGCGGTGGTGTTCTGTGGCAGCGGTGGTGTTCTGTGGTAGCGGTGGTGTCCGGTGGCAGCAGTGGTGTTCTGTGGCAGCGGTGGTGTTCTGTGGTAGCGGTGGTGTTCTGTGGCAGCGGTGGTGTTCTGTGGCAGCGGTGGTGTCCGGTGGCAGCAGTGGTGTTCTGTGGCAGCGGTGGTGTTCTGTGGATGTTCGGTGGCAGCGGTGGTGTTCTGTGGCAGCGGTGGTGTTCGGTGACAGCGGTGGTGTTCGGTGGCAGCGGTGGTGTTCTGTGGCAGCGGTGGTGTTCGGTGGCAGCGGTGGTGTTCGGTGGCAGCGGTGGTGTTCGGTGACATCAACGGTGTCGGCGTCAGCGGTGCTTCACGAAGCTAGTGGCAGCAGTGGCGGAGGAACAGCGAGACGGCGTTGTGAAGGCCGAGTTAGGAAAGCGGAGCGACGGTCGTCTGCCACACGTATAGCGCAGTTGCAGATGAGCTTCTTCCTGTCATATCTAGACCAGCCGCAGCTGCTTCAGAAGCTGTAAAAATTGACTACGCAAAAGTTCCTACTATCGAGCAATATCATTTATGTGCCTGCTTGTTATAGGTGTAGAAGTGAGTTATGCCACTTTAACTGCTTGTTATATGTGTAAAAGTGAGCTATGCCACTGTTACTGCTTGTTATAGGTGTAGGAGTGAGCTATGCCACTGTTACTGCTTGTTATAGGTGCAGGAGTGAGCTATGCCACTGTTACTGCTTGTTATAGGTGCAGGAGTGAGCTATGCCACTGTTACTGCTCGTTATAGGTGTAAAAGTGAGCAATGCAACTGTTACTGCTTTCATTGTTACTCATATCCGCGTGGATTTGTCTTCGACAGTTCTCTGGCGCTGACTTTTCTGCGGCTGAAAAACACTTAGCGTGGCAGACGGCCCTCACCATTTTGCTTCTGCAAGAATTTAGTAACAGTCTGGAACTAGAGCGCTATAAAATAGTAGGTCAATCGGTAGAAAATCTGTTATTGAATTTCAATAATGATGTTTCCTAGGTTAATGATTAAATAATTCGTTTTGTTCACAAGACATTTTCATTTAAATAACTTCCTTAATTAATTGCTAATATATAATTTTGAGGCTTGATATCACAGAATGATATACTTTTGTGTTATACAGGAGTTTATTGTTTCCCTTTCTATAAAGTTCCTATACAAACTGGATATTCATCACCGTTATGGGACAACCACTAATTAAAATCAGAGCCGTCTTCCTGTGCAACAAACAATAATATAGTCACTTTATAAAAAAACAGAAGTTATGAAAAACGCTGAGACTGCGTTTGTCTCGTTAAAAACGAAGGGAAGGTTTTGATGCCATATATAGGCTGAAATGAAATCTAAGTAACAACACCAACCTCTCGTCTCGGTGCATAGAATCTTTCCTATCCACTTTGGCTCAATAGTACTCAAGAAAGAGCAAATAGTCTTTTCATTGCGACACGGCTACAGATAAACTGAAGAATGTGCTTACAGTCATACCAATATATTCCCTCATATTGGAGTTTCAATCCATTCAGGTATTTAGTGATTAGGTTTTAATGTATTCAACACGCCAGTTTCGGGAAACGTAGTATGACAAATGAAGTTATATAGGTTACACGTACAATACAATAGTTATTTATGCAATAGTTTGGCTCACGTTTGAACTACCAAATTTATAGAATGTTTCAATTACAGCTTCAAATTTCTTCTAACTTTTGTTGCATTAAATTCAACTTTTAAGTAAACAATTCCTTTTAACAATGGCAACTTATTAGAATAACCGATTGAACTTTCGAAGGGTTCAGGATGACTTGGATTGTACTCTCTGGATCTTCTCCATCGTCAATTCAGTGAACAAAGACCACCTGACAACTTTCTTCTGAGATAATTTTCACTCTGAATAATTAACGATATATTGTCTAGAAAATGACAAAGGTGCACTAATAACAGATGCTCATGAATGACATGACAAACATGTTCTTCCGTTTGGTAGAAAGTTTTCATTGGAGCTAGGGTGCTGCGTAAAATGGTCTTCAGTAATAAAAAGCTCAATTAAAGAAATATAATCTGAATTCCCCCCTTTTTCACAAACTAGTCGATATTTCACTACGCTTGCTAATCGCAAGTGACTAAATCTAAAAACTTGTTGATTGTTAAACTCGAAACATTAAAAAACTACCTGTGACAAAACTTTGGTCGAACGTGAAAATCTATAAACTAATATTTAGCATTTAAAAACATAACTCACCATTTCCGGGCGTAGTTCTGATAAAATCTTCGGTGTCACAGTTCTTAGCACTATGAGACCTTCAATAGATTATTGGTCGAGTCAGTAGTACCGTAACAGCAATATTTATAGGCAAAATTTTCACTGCACAAGTACATAAAATAGACATGTACATTTCACAGACGGAGAACAACAGTCAACCCATCTGTTCACCTCACAAGTAAACCCATTAGTTTATTTACAAATTAGAATAAGATTCAAAACCTTAACACTCCATGAACATTTACTGCTCGTGCTTTGTTCATTTCCTACATTTTATTCTCACAGTTATTGTAGAAGAACACACCATAATTTACCTAAAATTATCGTTTAATTATTGCAAACTGGTCTTACTTACTTACTACGTTTAATTTTGGCAAACTGGTCTTACTTATAATTCATGCTTGACTCTTTCTCTTTGAATTAATTTCAGATTCAATCATACATAACAAAATTCCTTAAATCTCATATGTAAGCGACCAGCAAAAATTGTGTAATTCTTGCGTTCTTAGTGACTTTTTTCTCGGAATTGTGTAACGCGTAAGGAGTGCTCGGGAAGTATGGCTCAAAAAAAATATAACTCAGTACTCACAGCAGTGAGTGACAGAGTGCGCATTTTCTCGTCGACGAAAACTTGAGGTCACGGACAGACAGACGGACAGAGAGACAGACGGACATGGCGAGCACAATAGTGCATTTTTTCCATAGATAAGAAAATGCGCTAAAAACTTACAAAATGCAAAACGCGTGTGTTGGGAATGAATTTGTACGGCATCTGTGGCACACACAAGAATTCCGGAAAGATAAACTTTGAAGCTGCCAAGTTAATGGGCAATAGATTAAAACAGTCAATGTGCACTTTTAGGGTTAAGAATTATCAGACCTTCATCACAGTTTAGCTGCTTTAGCACAAAGAAAACGTGGTTCTGGATTCTTTATATAAACTAAAGATTATTTTCAAGGTTGATTATTCTTTTTGATACAATGCAAGAAGATGATAGCAGATATTTAAAATGAATTTTTATGTTCCAAAACAATATTAAATAATTTGCTGAAAATATTCACTCGTCATGTATTTTTAAAATGAACATTAAACACGTTTTGGCAAATGCTGATCTTACTCAAATGTCCGGCTGTGAAATATTGATATCAATTAAAAATAATTGGCCCAGCAAGATAGGAATAAGCTGTACTTTCAAACACAACGATATTTATTAAGAAGAAAGTGGAGACGGCAGTTGCAACCGCAATTGTTTCGTTAGGACTTAAGTCTAATTGCTGGTGTTTGTTCTAAGTCAAGGTCTTCCCGAACGTGATTGGAAAGTCGCCTTGTCGACGCTAGGCTGTACAAACAGACTGTTACCTTAGCCGTTGAACCCTTCAACATAAAAACAGCTGTATACAGCCACATTTATTGTCGCATTTGAAGTTTTTTAAATCAAAACAGCTCTGGAAATACCGATCAGTAAGTTTAATTCACCGAATCCCTAGTTCACTCCAATTTTTTTCATAAACCTAATAAAAGTCGAAGGCAACGTAAACATTTTCATTTTAAACTATCAAAGCCCGTTATGCCATCGGTTAGTATCGAACATCATCCAAACCATGGTTCTATTCATTTTATATACAGCAAATAAACAAAAATTCATACTACGTTGAAAGGTTCACACGTCTATTGTACATGAGGATTATCGAGTTGAATTCAATAAGAAATCGAAAGACAAAAAAATGGAAAGAAACGTAGTTTTAATAGAAAATCATCGTTTCATTTGTCGTCAATCAGAAACTTTTTAATTAAATTAAACATTCAGATGTTATTCATTCATCTGCTTGACTTCGCTGCAAACCGCGGACTGTTCGCGGAGGAGAAAGTTGTAAAAGAAAGCAGACACGGCGAAATTTTATTGACTAGTTGGAGGTCAATAACAACCGTATTGTATATTGTTGTATTTGGTGACATTAAATTAAGAGATACCGTACTGTAATTTCAAACAAAATTTGAATGCTTGCACCGATCGTCTCGTTATCTCAACAAGTAACAACTGAATATCTACGGTTACTCCTGGATTTGCTGGTTTTCGGCCAACGTGTTAATGGACCGCAAAATTCACTATTTTTTTAAATGCTTTTATACTCCCGTACTTATTCTATGCAAGATTTTTCTAGCTCCTGTTAAAAAAATCGACGAAAACAATATTTCGAAAACGCATTTGCTTGCCTAATTCGAGAACGCATTTGGTTACCAAGTTGCGTTTGAAATTGAAATCAGCTTTCGTTAACTACTTTGTGATAAGGGTTGAACGTCATATCGGTGGCCGCCAACGATACGCCAATGACAAAAATTATGAATAAATTTCTATGCCATCATGCATGAGCAATCGTAACGGGTAACACATCTGAAGCACAATCGCCACAATGCAATAGTTCCAACAAAATCAACTAGGAACTGTTATCCAGAGAATATTGCGTATGTCTCAGGTAGATGTGACTACAGTTCCCACATATACAAAATAAATAAGGAAATGAAGCGCGCAAAGTTTTGTCATTGATGCGATGAAGCATGCGAAGAATTCCGAATAAAGCTTCTGATCTCTGACGCTTCTCCTTGACACGCTTCCAACAAAAGGTCAGAGTTAATAGCTATATATTGAAGTGCCAGACCATCACATGATTTCAAATAGTCAATTATGTTTGTAAACTGATACAATAAAACTGATACAATTTAAAGAATAATGTAAACAAGGAGAGGACATAGAAAATTAATAATGATTTGTTCTGGCATAAACATAATTTGCTTTTTTTTGTGCTAATACTAATTTAAATATTTCATCTTAATGTCGGGATATATAAGGACTTGATATAGATCACCAACAATATAATTTCGTATTTGATTCAATCAACAAGAGTTAGGGAAAACAATGCTAACTGAATTTTAAAAAGAAAACCACCCATTACAATTCGTCACAAATTTAGGCAATCGCAGGTTGTAGAAATGCATGATACACGAAAATTTGAGACGATTTTCTAAAATTACAACTGCCAGAGCCTAAGCCTGTTGTTCGATTCACAATGATCGCGGAACTGTTGCGTGTTCTTTATAATTCAAGTGCAAGACAGACGAAGTAATGAGTTATTCAGACCACCTCTTTCAAGACGTGGGACGTGGAGCATTGGTGCAGCAGTATGCCGTGCGTGATGTGAACTACCTAGGAAATATACATGCGCCTTACTGTAACTTCAATGGCAGAAGTTAGGCAATAGATTGAGAACAAATACATAGATATTGACCACACAGCTAGTTAATGCTATAATACTGTTAATACATTACCATTAGAATATCTTTCTTTCAAGTTCAGGATGTAGGCTAGTGCTTAATTTGTAACAGATTAATCGACAAAGAGATTTGAGTTAGCGCGTCAAATCGACAGCTCCCAGCAGAGCTTAATGCTACCAGTAACAACACAGCAGGACTATTACCATTTCTTCACATCTTGTATTCTCTCAAAGAAAATCATCGAGGACATCCTTGCATTACTATACTCGAGTATAAAATTTGTTCTAACTAACGAAATTTTTGTATGTAATATTTTCTAAGTCGCACAGGTGTTGACGTTAGATTGTAGTTAGTCGAACGCGGAGAGAAAGGTTATTTTCTCTAGGATGCCTATAAGGACTAATCTAACACACCACCTTATGTATTAATTCCCCTAGAATAATTTCGAAGTCCAGACATTTGTCTCATACTTCAATTTCAAATAAGTATAGTATTAGTTTATAAACCTAATCCTCAGCGAAAGTGCTTCCTCGTTGCATCGCTTCACTGGGTCACTGACACCAGGATCAACACACATACGTTCACTTCCGAAGACGAACGGAGACTGCACCGTTACACGCACGTGCAACCTGTTCGAGCCGCTGGCTGAGCGGTTGGTTGCAATGAGAAGCCTGCAATGCAAAAACCATATGCTGACAGTTGTCAACTGATGAAGGTTGTCAGGCTGCTGCTAGCATGCGCTTGTTTTTTTTTTTCAAAAAGATCAGCGGTCAGATTAAATATTTCTTTCCAGCTGCAATACAGTCAGAGATTCTTCACGCTCCTATGAAACTTTTCTGGTGAATTTTTGTTCATACACAATATACCAATTAAATTTTCATTCCTCATAAAAATATGTGTTTGAACGCCTAAAAAACCCGCATCTAATCAATCTCTGAGCGATCAGCGAAACTTCCCAAAATAAATCGCGGCTATCGGTCATTAACGTCTTTCAACGGTAATACTATCAGCCAATTTCTTCTTCTAAATAACGACTCACCACGGTAATACTATCATCCACGTCCTTCTTCTAATTGGTAATTACTTTAGCTATGAAAAGTCGTCTAATTAAATTCGTTTATACCTACTAAATTTCCAATTTTTATTTTTGAATGCGGACGGATGTACAGTCGCGTAATCAAACTATCCAACGAATGACGAATATCCAACGATAAGCACATTTTTTCATCAAGTACCTTACAAATAGTCTTCAATAAATGTTAAGAGAATCACAAAGTCCAAATTATCAGGCAGTGGAGAGCAAAAAAACTGTAGCGAACTTTCGCTCTCCTGCATCCCTTGAGGACAGAAGACAGCAGACGCAGTTATCGTTGGAATAATTATTATTAATAATGCGCTTTAATGATATAATGCGCATTAATCATTTGGAATGCGCTTTTAGCATATACTTCACATTAATAATTTATAATGCGCTTTAATTATATAATGCGCAATAATCATTTATGATGCGCTTTTATTATATAATGCGCATATCATTCGTAATGCGCTCTAATTTTTCTAATGGCGTGAAGTAGTTGAGTTGGTGTCATTTCATTTCATACTTTTTGTTGTAACAAACATTCTCTTTATCAAAGCAAAAACGTGTTTAGCTCCCTCATGCATGGAGGGTATCTCTATTGACGAGTAAAGTGTTCCTGAACATAAAAAACATTACAATTTTACCCCTCATAAAATATTTGTCTTTAAAAGACCTAATCGAGATGGCCTCTATCGCCTTACACTCTCTGAACAACATTTCAAGTTGTTTGTTGAACAACAACATTTCAAGTTTTCCATAGGGATGTAACGGGCTTGATCGAGGTACTGCATATTAATTATATAAGCTTTTCTGAACCTTGAGCGGCTGTCCCGCAAAAACTTCACTCCGTCGACCTTCAAAGACACATTTTAGCATCTAGTTCCGAGTCCTCTTCCAGTTCCGCTTCACAAGATGCTTCGGCGACACATGCGTGCACGCGCTGCCTGGGCAGAGTATTGTTCCGCATTGTCGTTGACTACTTGAGCCTGAGCGCACGCTGCCCCAGTGAGTCTAGGGTGAGAAGCGAGTGACGTAAAGTGAAATTTTGTGATGAAATTTTTAGCGGCTCCCGTGGGTAAAATTTTTGAGGTGTATCTTCTACAATTCAACTGTAATATAACTGCTTATTTGTAGATGTGAAAAAATTCAAATCTTTTAACTGACCAAAGGCGCCGTAAACGAAAGCTCCAGCTGTACACAGTTTCTTATTAATTCAAGAAAATATTTACGCAAACTGCAAATATCAAACACAAAAAAATGAAAATCAGAAGTAATATGATGCATTCAAAAGTATTCAGTGCATGCTTTGTGCTTGTAATGCTCGCTTTCAACAGTTCAGCACAAAAAACTTTACCTTCGACTGAAAACCTTCTGAATAATTCAACGTTTGCATTTGATGCCTTGCAAAATAACTCCGAGTTTTCACATCATATTGCAATATCATCAGTGCAAAACAACAAGACCGGCCAGGCAAACACATTAATCTTCCAGGAGAATAGCACCAACTTTTCTAACGAAGAAAAAGGCACTTCTAACATCAAACCATGTAGTGAGAGCTGTAATGTTGATAAAACCGAAAACACAAGAAATGAAATCTTGATGAATTCGCGCGTTAAAAGGCAAAGTTACATCGATCGCATAAACCAATACTCCCATCTTCGCCTCCCGTCTATTGAAATGCTGAAGGAATATGCTACCAGCATCCCCGAATTCTTCACTCGATTGCTCGACAGCTTTACTACGTACCCAATTTTTGGGCCTCCAGCTGCAAAACTTAGACGAATTCTTCGCACTGATGCAGCGACGGCGAGAGAGAACAGTAAGTCTTTATTTTCGCTAGCTTTGACAAACAGTGATTCAGTTCTTTTATATGGTAATTATATAGATTAATGAGCCAGTGATTCAGCGATAGAGACCCATGAGGGGGGACTTCTGACGCGGGTCTGTGCTCGTCAGAAGTCCTATGGGATTTCGCGCTCCTAGGGGGCTTGTTCCTGAGCGCCCCACCGCTGAGCTCGCGGTGTCTGACTGCGGGTCTCAGTTGTGGGGTTAAGTTATTATGTAGGTAGGATTATTTGCATTAAGTTATTATGTAGGTAGGACCATGCATTAATTATTATGTAGGTAGGATTCCTTACATTTCCCTTCTCTGTCTCTCTCTTGCGGGCGGCCGACGTCCCGTGTAAGCGACCTCTTGTTCGAGTGTCTTAGTTTCTGTTGTTTTTCACCTGTCCCCTCTTGTCACTTCTCTTTGAGATGCTAACGCTACTTCTTTCGAGCCAGCTCCAGCGGGCTGGACATCTGAGACCTTCCGCCCCTTTTGGGTGATGATTAATTTGTAATTTGAGACCTTGTAATAATTGAGACCTTCCGCCTCGCTGGCGATGTTAACTTTTGACCTCCGGTGCGAAATAGCTTGATAGCTGAAGCGCTAGCAAACCATTATAATACTACTACTATCAGTGGTAGAGAAACAATTTCTTACATGATACCCAGAGTAAACATCGATAAGTCAAGATAATTACTCCATAAATGAAATCTTGAGCGTCACAGCATTTACACTTATCAACAGACATTTTCACATTTCATAATACTTCCTCATATTCCTGCTTGACTCTATTTCACATTTTACAAATTTGATCTTCGGGTTTTTACATGCAAGTGGCATTTTCATCGTGTCTTTCTCAAACGACTTCTTACGTTGAAATGACGGCACTGAAAAAACAACACAAGCAAGAAACCTGCAACTGCTAGCCAGGTTATAGTCTCCAACTACCAATAAAATGGGTCAATATTTATGATATACTGTATATCTTTATTTCAGGACCAAGTTTAAAAGATTTATCAGGTTAAAATATAAGAAAAGATACGAAAATAAAGTGATAGCTTATAGAATCTCTATAGCTTTCAGATTAGTTCTGATAATTTTAAAGAGTTATATACGGTAGCGGATAAGTTCACTGCAGAGATTTGTTTCAGGAGTTCCTTTTCCTATATTAACGCACATGCCGTTTCTCTGCATTTGTTTTCTGTTCATCGTTCAATTGCGCCTTTCTGTTCATGCATAAGTCATGCTTCGTCTTGACCATTTTTATAACACTCTCAATACATGTTGCAGGATTACCGTTTGGTATTAAACTAAATAAAGATTTGCTTTAAGAGGCTATTTTTATGTGTGTATCAAGCACGTTTCACTTTTTCCACTAGCAAATAATTAATTAACGATTTAATGAAAACCAAATACAGGAAAACTGCAGCCCGAGTTCGAAGAGAAGGAGTATTGCTTCGGTGAGATCGGTTGCTTCAAAATTACTCGCGATTTCTACGATCCTGTTTTGCGGCCGTTGAACGTGCCTCCGGAATCGAGAGAAGAAATTGGTACAAAATTCACACTATTCACCCAAACTCAACCCGAGGGTCAGGCAATTAACCCTCGGGACTTGTTGGTGTTGAAAAATTCGAGTTTTAACCCAAAAAATCCCACCAAAATAATCATCCATGGTTGGCTGACCGACCCTGCAACCACGTGGGTTGAGGTACTGAAAAATGAATTCATTAAACATTGCCCATTTTTTATAAGTTATATCATGACTTTTACGTCAAACATTCAATCATGTTCAGATTGACGAATATAAATAGTGTAAGTTCTCAGTCACCCGTATTTTGATTCTAATTCCATAGCGATTTAAAATTATATATTTCAAGCAGTTATTGAACGTTAATAACCAAGGAATTACATGTGATGATATAGCAAGTTTTGGCGACAAAAGTATATAATCGTAATCTATTACTGTCGTAGGTTTCCACCCTTAGTTAGTTCCACTAATAATCATTAGATATGCTTTTCCTCCCATTTAGGATTTTTCAAAGGAAATAATTGAACGCCACAACTACAACGTCATTGGCGTACGATGGGCTAGAGGATCGTACGTGTTCTACACTTTTGTGTTGCTGAACGCAATGGTGGTCGCTCTGGAAATCGTCCACCTCCTAGGATGGCTCGTACAGAACAAAGGCGTTGATGTGAAAGACGTGCATCTCATTGGACACTCCATGGGCGCTCAGATATCTGGTAAGTCCAAGGATTAATTACCATGAATTTACTGATGTATTTCTGTGTTTATGAGTGAGATCTCATGTTACTTATATTATAAAGTAATTCAACTTATAAACACTAAACTGAAGACATTCACCGATTCCTGGAGATTACTTCTTTATCACTGTATCGCAAATGCGGTCGTGAAAAGGTTTCAGTTCAGATAAAACACTGAGTATTTACACTGTATTTAGTAAAACACGTGTGTGCATTGTACAACTGCGTTATGCCGTACGGCAATCTTTCCCAGCTCGTTAGAAAAACATGAATAAATGAATTCCGGATCTTTGCATAACCTAAAGTATGGAAAGCCCAAATGAAAGTGAAAGAATTGTTACTTTGAAATATGATAGATTTTATACTATTCCCTAACACCGACATCACAGGATACGTTGGCGAGCGTGTGCCAGGGTTGGGCCGGATCACAGGGCTGGACCCTGCCAATCCGCACTTCCAAGGCATGCCGACTTCAGTGCGTTTAGACCCTTCAGACGCGCTTTTTGTTGACGTCATACACACGGACAGCAACTATACCGACCCTAGAGGTGAGAATTATTAGTTATGATCTGTGCGTGCATTGTCAACTTTCAGTCAAAAATGACAAGAGAATTTATTATGGTTTTTGATAATAGTTCATTGCAGTTAATTCAATACGTTATCAATTGTTCCAAAATAGCCAAATATTTTCGTGAGCAACCTTATATATAACTATAAATCATTTCTTTTAATTTATGTCAAGTTTTATACTATTTATATTGGTTTATTTCATTCATGCCTACAACAAATGTCATGAAATGGAAAAAACATACACAAGGTTAGTAGGTACTTATTTTCAGAAAATTTTCAAAAATAATCACTTATTTAAATTATGAGAATTTTTTTCAATGAAAATAAAGCCTATCATCCTAGTAAGGAGACTTGTATTATAATGGCTTGATAAATTTTTCAATTTTGTCACAAAGAAATTTTTCTTGACGCGCAAGAGGATTATAGTTTGTGGTGGAGGAACTATGATTTAAATGTTAAGTTACGTTGTTAAAGATTATAAAGTAAACATATATAATTTTTTTCCTCTAAAATTATTTCAAGTGTCGAATTCTTCGTTAATTAGTGCCATTTTTTGCCGCTTGAAAATGCGTTTCCTGACTCAGACTGGACCAAGTATGGGACTGGGGAGCTGACAGGTCACGTGGACTTCTTCCCCAACGGTGGAGCCAACCAGCCAAATTGCGAGTTTCTTACACCTGAAAGTAAGTTGAAAGTAAACTTTAGAATAACTGCAAGATTCTAATACGAGTAATTAACCCCGAATTACGCGATTAAATTAAACCATTTATGCGATCAATGGAATAACGAGGTAATATTGAAGAAAATTCATTCATTTCTTTTACAGTGACGATAATGCTTCATTACAAAAGCTGTATATACTGGTATTTAAATTAACTTTACCTGTTAGTGTGCATTGCTTACCATACTTGATGTAGTATTTCCATACAAAGTTCAACGAATAGCATTTGAGTAGAGCATAACAAAGTGTACAACTCCTATTGGCAGAGGTGCTGTGCAATCACGCAGTGGCGAAGAGATTCTTAAGAGCTTCTGTCACTACGTCGTGTCCGTTCCTTGCCTTCCCGTGCGACTCCTACGAAAATTACAAAGCGGTAACATCGAAATATTGAAATAAATTTAAGTCGCATGTTGGTGAGTTTAAAAATTTAAAAAATTATCATTATTAAATCCTAATTTTATGCACTTAACTTCCTGAATTTATTGGTTTTATTTTGAAGACATTTATATAATACGCTACAGGTCTTTAAAAGCCAAAAGTCAAAAAAATATAACTCAGTACTCACTGCAGTGAGTGACAGAAAGCGCATTTTCTCGTCGACGAAAACGTGAAATCACGGACAGTCGGACAGACAGACGGACAGACAGACAGACGGACGTGACGTGCACAATAGCGCCTTTTTTCCATAAATGAGAAAATGCGCTAAAAATGTTGTGTTTCCTCACTCATACATTTTTTCATTATATGTCTAAATTATCCATGTTCCCCAAACAGGGCAAATGTTTCTCATGCTCCGGTCACCTGGGCTGCGCGCCGATGGGCCTGAATGCGGACTTGTGGAAGCCCCGGGGCAAGGAGGGAGTGGCGATGTTCCTCACCACATCGTTACGTCCGGACTACTGCCGTAGGTTACGGAAAAACGGCTACTTATTGAGATATTAAGATCAGTATTAATAAAAGACGAAATGAATAACAAGCTGAATACCGTCAATTTGAATGCCATCAAAAAATATGTTCTGATCAACTGTAAAGAGATTAAATTTATAGACTCCTGTAACATAAATTTGGTTGACATTCGAGAACGGAAGACAAACAATTACCCATGTATTTTCTGTTCCAGAACCTTACAAGCAATTTTGTTAGATAATTAATAAGGTTAATAACTCATCAAGCAAAGTGGTATGAATATTCTAATTTTACATTCATGAGTTATGTTTCACGCATGGAAAATGGTATTCCACAGAGTACCACTCTCGTCTGACTCTGCATCTTCCCGCCAGAGGCGAGTCGCAGAGTTACTCGTACGGACGCATCAGAGCTACTCTGATGAGAGGCTCAGTGCGTCTGCAAACTTTCTGGCTGCCAAGAAGGTTCGTAAATTGATTTTAATTGTGTTTTTTTTAAATAATGTTCATGGGTTAACTGCAAGCTTTTGACTTTTGCTGATTATTCATAGATTTGTGAAGCTTTAACAACACCAGAACGATTTCTTGAATAAGACTCAATTATTAAAATGAAATGCTGTTTTGAATTTAAAATTAACATATCCCAAACTATTATGCGCCTAATATTCCGGATGATTAAATGTTTGAAATTTCCTAAGAAATAAAATGGTAGCTTATATAGGTGAGGTAATTAAATTGAGGCCCGTTTCAGTTAAAAATTAGTGCCAATATTAACTGCTGCCGAATGCCAAGCTACCGTCGTGCGGATGCCGCTTCAGTGCAACATCAGTGATGGAAAGACCGTTTAGGCGCCGATATTAGGACCTCTCGTTGGCGTTGCCATCGTCGAGTTGCATCGACGGTCTTTGTTTTGACAGCAAATTATTATCTGTAATATAAAATCACATATAACACTGCCGTTTCTGTATAAATTTCAAAAACACACTTGCGTTTGGCAGAGGCGCCGTGCGTCTGGAGCTCGGCACGTCGCCGACGTTTCTCCTTCGTCACGGTGACGACCACAGCTCCTGTGACGGCGTTGAGCTGAGCTGGCATGCGCAGCAGGACGTGTTCAGGCCATGCAAGGGACGATGTGAGCCTCACTTGCGCCTCTCGCACGTCACCTTCACGCCTCTCGATAACCGTGATGTCCTCACGGGCAACAGGTGCAGTGTTACAAGTATTTATATAATTTGTCTGCTTAAATTACAACTTCACCAACAATTTAGAAGCGAACAGAAAGTAGGGCAAGTTCACCATATCTTCAATGAAAACGTTATGGATACCGTTTTACTGATGAAAGAGCTGGTTTCCGAAACGTTCCCATTGAATATTATAATATTATAAGAAACTTCTCGGCGTTTTCTTTCTTTAAAATTCTTGGTGTGGTGTTATGTAACGCTTGTTTGTTCTTGGCATCACATTGCCTGAAGTTGACGGAGTTTTTATGTTCATCAATAAACGTTGCTAATGCAAAGGAATATTCATAATTGTAATACTTTCTCTCGAGTTCAGAAAAATTCTTATAGGATTAACTTCGGAATATTTTCAAGGATACTTCTCATGTCAGGCATTGAAAAATCATATACTCAGTATCAATTATCAATTTTTATACATAGATTAGGGGATCGGTTTTTTTGATACTATATAAATCAAATTATCACTAATTTCGGAGGAACGACATTCAGTTAGACAAGCTAACTTTTTTAAAAGATGAAGCTTTGTTTCCGGTGCACTCATGTTCATCAACTTGGTTTAAGGGTATTCAGTGCTTAGTTTTGCTGTAATTTTAGCTGTACTCCCGTTGCATTAAAAGTTTACATAAATCACTGTTAACGCAGTTAATGGTGATGATTGTTGCCAGACCATGATTGTTAGCCAAATCAATAAGTTGTATCTCTTAATGACCGACAGTAAATGCACCATGAAGTTAAGACCATTTCATCTTTTCTTCTCAGCTTTCACATGCTGGGATGACCACAAATTTAAATTCATATTAATTCTCCGGATACTGTAATGTCACTAGTCGACTCGATGAACCATTGAGATGATTGAATAATAAATTCTTCAAAATTTCATTTGACGAAGACAGTTTACAAACTGTACCTAAATATGGCAGTCAAAATTTTGAAGAATCCACATTTTTGATCAACCCAACTCCGTGATTATTATTAATTACTAAATTAAATAAAAATAAAAATAAAAATTAAATAAAATTATTCAATTACTAATGAAATTAAATAACGTATCTCTTCCAGCACGAGCATCTCTATGTGCGCTTCTGGCTCTCATCAACGCGTCACCATGGCCAGCGGAAGAACGGCTTATTTCATAGCAAAAATTAAGTGTTAATCGAATGTATTAATTTAATATATTCCACGCAAACTTGTGATCGATTGGAAACCGTTCGCTTTGTATATATAGCGTACTAGCGAACGCTAGCGTCTGGTGATCTGCGTCGCTTTAATTTAGTATGGTGAGGCAGAGGTCGAACCAAGAAGGTATATAAATGATTAAATCAAAGAGCTGGCACTATAATGTACATACTCTCGCCCATTTCATGAAGGGTTACAAATGCATTTCTATCTACTGCCATAAGTAATAGTAAATTTAGACACCTTAGACTTCTGCAATATAAAATATATGAATTAATAGATGATAATAAGATTCATTATAAAAGAAAAGTCTCCTAGAAACCAATTTATTTTTATATAGCAAGCATCCGTTGCCATAAATATGGCGGACCTTGTATATATCCAACCACCTGATGAACAAGAATATATCTCGTCGTTACCAAAGCACGCTTCAATAAATAATAAAGATAAACGAACCTTGTCCCATTATATATTCAGGAATGAACAGTCGGCAACACATAATCTCGGCAGACATTGAACAAAGTAATGTTCAATAAACGGATAAAATCAGGGTATCATGGTCGCTGTAAAGGCTAACAAGTAAAAAAAGTGTATCCGGAAGTAACATATGGGCACACTTTAATTCATGTGTAACTTCTTCTCCTACCGCAGTCACAAAAAAAATAGATTATGGCAAAATTAGTTATTACCTGCAAAGTAAGCTCAGTTGCTAATAAAATGTATCACACATGTAACTGACATAAGGCACTATAGTACTTTTTTCAGTAATTTGTATTAAATTCATGAAGGTGACATCTTATGTAATCATCTTATGACATCTTATATAATCATCTTATGACATCTTATGTACGAGGCTATCACGCGGCATGTGCGACTTAGGGTTCCGCTGTTGCCGACACGAGGCGCAAAAACCTCAAAGCCTTGAAAAAAATATAACTCAGTACTCACTGCAGTGAGTGACAGAGAGCGCATTTTCTCGTCGACGAATACGTGAAGTCACGGACAGACAGATGGACGGACATGACGAGCACAATAGGGCATTTTTTTCATAAATGAGAAAATGCGCCAAAAACCTAACGCGCACCTCATAGCGTCCTTACGCACCTTTTATGATACGCAAGTATTTGCCGTTAGAAACAAGAAGTGCGGTAGTACATCGTTCGTTCACGTTGACAATATACGTGAACACGCGGTATTTGTTGCATTTATATATGTGAGTTGCATTTATTAAAATGAAGGGGTATGAAAAGCATACTAGTTTGAAATACTGGCAAATAATATTGGCATTACTTTCACATCTATGTCTTTTAAAAATAAAGAAATGTTTAGAAAATGTTTTTTGAAACTTCCCAAAAGCTTCACAAGATCTCTAAAAGCAATAACAATTTTACTGCTCCCTTAGTTGGAAAAAAGTAAACACGCGTAAATGTTAAAGGTTTTTCAGTATTGTGCTTCAATCTCTAAATAAATCAGAAAGTTTTATATAAACTAAGAATGGAATATGGATGGAACTTTTGTACATATATTCTACTGATCTTTTGTCGAGCTTAATTTTGTGTAACATATTACGATGAACTCTTTCAGCCACTTTCAATCATCCAAAGCAATACTTTGGTAATGTTATGATTGTAGTACTGATAGTCTTATTTGAAGTTCAGGAATTACAATTACAGGAAAAATTAAACTCATTATCTTAAATATATTTGTTAAGTTCATTCGTGGCTTTTTCATTCGTTAGAAGCCAGGTGTAAACATGTCAGGCTGTGCGAGCGCATTTACTGATCAAACACGGAACTTATTTCGCTCGGATACTACTAGTAGTAGAAAATTTATTGTTGGCAGGAGAATAGTAAGGCATTGCAAAACAGGTCGAAAACCGAATAAAAAATTGATATTTGATTCCAATGATGGGATACATACACTTAATTTAAAGCTCGCCGAATATTTTTTTTTATTTTTGAAACTGGACTCACATGAGAGTTTTATGTATAATCTTTGTTTGGACTTTTTTTCCTCAATAATCACGCATTAGCTTTATAATTATTAGCAGAATTGTGAATGACGGGATTAGAGATTATAAAATTGCAGCGATTATTGATCTCGAGACGATATAAACGTATTATTACATTGCAATAATTATAGTTGCAAAACAAATGATAACTCTTGAGAATATATTAGAGTTAATGAGCAATTAGAGCAATGATATCGGACGACAGAAACTGCAGTAAATGTTATTTGAAAGAATTTAATTTTGAATTGCGTAAATTTGTCCCTTACCAAAGAATTTACAGGCCAAAGCCCACCAGAAGCACATCTACTCTCGAACAAAGATTTTAATTCGAGAAAAAAAAAACAAATTCGAGAAAAGAAAATCAAAAGCATCGAAATTCGAAATTGTTGTAGCCAAGTACGCACTCCAAAACTATCAACTTTTGGTGGTCAACGCAAGCCTTTGAAATGCGTAAATTCACTTTAACTATATTATAGGATTAGGACATCAATCGATACGCATCTAAATGTATTTCAAATTCTAGAATGTTGCATCAATATTAAAAATCACTGGCGGAATTAAATTTAAAATACTTAAGAGTGTAATCAATAAAATTATGCGGCATAACGTATAAAATTTCTGCTAAATTTATTGTTTTTATCACCTTTAAAGATTTTTCTGCTTGTTAACGTATCACACGTACATTAATTAAAAATAGAAATACGTTTGAGGAATGTATTTCTGTTTATATGTAAATGTATATCTAGAAATACATTTTTTACATTAAAACACAGCAGATTATGAATACGTGAATTTAAATGAATTTGTAGAACTGTAAAAACTAACATAAAAATATAATTTCCAGACGAAAAAATATTATTTTCGTTCAAAATTGCAAATAACTTATAAATACAATATTGCATCTGTCTCCATACTTTTTTAACTAAAAAAAAGAAACATTTTAAACGCGATTTTTTCAGATTTCTTCATTGATGCCAAAATATCCTTTTCCACTTACGGTAATAACGGAATATTCAGCAGCAATTGTGCTTGATTTTCAGGAAGCTATTGTGATGTTCTTGATCCGAGTGCAGCCAGTCCAGCAAAAACTTTCCTAACGGACAATCCTAAGACTCAGCAGCATTTTTTCTAGTTGCTCTTAAACGCCAAGTGCCCAGATGAATAAGCTAGCCTATGCTATATACTAGTTACAGCGAAATTTTACCACATTTTCAGCCTAGGCGTGAGTCTGTGAACACGATCAACGAGAGAGTTGCAGGGTGATAAGCTAGGCGGATCAATCATAATTTTTAATTTAAATTTATTTGAGTGTTTAAAAGTCATCAAATTATGAAAGTTACGGGGAGAACATAAGCCAAAGACTTGAATAAGTGACCCAGTGATCGTTGTTTGACGTGGAAAATTAATTGTTGGTAGACGCAAAAATCAGTCCATTAAAATTATTTCTTCACAAATTGCCAAGCTCTGGATACTCACAATGCCTGCTGTAATTTATAGGAAAACTCATTCAAATATAACTTATTTGCGTTTATTGTTCGCAATGCTTGCAATAAAAAATTCAACAGCGAAGAACACCTATTATTCGACCGTTAACCCTCCTGAACATAATTATTCAGAATTGGCATCGTCGGAAAATCACTCGACGTTGGAATTAAAAAACGCCACTGAGATCCATCGCATCAAGTCTTATGTGAACGGTAAAATCGATATCAATTTAAGCCGCATTAACGTAACGAGCATCCAAATGGATTCTTTTGACGTCACGCAAAGGATGTTTAATGTGACGGTTGACAAATCCGAAACTGTATCCGAAGAAATGCGATTGAATTCCCGAGACAAAAGACAAACTCTCACGGATCGAATTCGCCAAGTAAGTTACCTTCGTTTCCCGTCTTTGGATCGACTTAAAGAATATGCAGCCAGCATCCCTGAATTTTTTCCTCGCTTGCTGCGCAGCTGGGGCGTAATTAAAAATTTGAGTTCACCATCTGCAAGAGAAAATAGTGAGTTCTGATTTTGGCTAAATTTGGGGTGGATAGCTGAAATTTTAGGAATTTAGCATGCGCCATTATTGGCTTATTGGAAAATTATCCAATCACTACAGTAAATTTTTCGTAGTAATTTCAAGTCGGCTGCTAAATCTGAGTTATATTTTTTAATACTCTTATTTTACAGCTGTTAACTATAAAAAGCCGGCACTGCAGATGACGTTTATGTCTTAAAAATGTCATTTATTCGCACTATCTTCCGTGATCTCAACTGTCACATGTTTGCATATCCTTCCCGATCGGGTCTTCTAAGATTTTTTCATTAGCATTTTTTGGAAAAAAATGCACAAGTCAATTGTGTTGCCATTGACGTAAAAGCTGAGATAAATTATTTCTCATTATACCTGCACCAATACATGGTCCCACTGTCCCACATGTACAATTCCATTTTACAACCGTTCCAACGAGAAGTACAACTGTACTTCTCATTCCATTATACAACCAAAACGATTTTTGTTGACTATATGGGGCTTCAAATTTACATTATCTCTTCAGTAATACGCTGCTATGCAGCTTCAATCATTGCAGAAACTGAAGTCATTGCGAATAATGGACTAACAATAAAGATATAAAATCATATTCAAACAAGCATTTAGGTTCAAAATTTGAATCGAGTCTCTAACTGGGATCACAAGCTCTATATGAATTGCTATTTCAAACCCTGAGAATATCATTACATTTCAATTAAGAACTTTAGAGACATGATTTCTAGACGTTTCCTTCTCAATCCCTGCACTGAAGCCCTTCCTACACTAGCGTTTACTTACATACTAATTTTTCTGTGTTATTGCTGTCTTTTGCTATATCCGCATCCTGTTCTTGTTATGCTATTCCAATGACAGGCCAACAGCAGTCCGAGTTCCATGAGAAGGTTTATTGCTTCGGTGAGATCGGCTGCTTCAAAGTTACTCGCGATTTCTACGATCCTGTTATACGTCCATTAAACGTGCCTCCGGAATCGAGAGAAGAAATTGGTACACAATTCACCCTCTTCACCCAAACTCAACCCAGAGGGTTGGCCGTTGACCCGCAAAACTTGAGTGTATTAAAAAATTCAACCTTCAACCCAAAAAATCCGACAAAAATCATCATCCATGGATTGATGACAAGTCGTGAAGCCAATTGGGTTGAGGTAAAAAAATTGTGTATTTTACTCTTTTAAATTATTACTTTATTATTCATTAGTGAATTACCAAGAGTCCTAGCATCATTAGTGTGGCATTGTACTATACGACTCAAATGAAATATTGAGAATATAATGAAGACATTAAAACATTAATTTACTAATAACGTAAACTGATGATCTTTAAATATCCTTTTCAATGTTGTTCTTATCTTCGATGAATTTTTCCTGTCCTATTTGTTCTCGTTAACGCAAAATTATTCACATTATTTATTTCCTGGGCCAAATTCCTCAAGTCTAACCTACGTACTTTATGTGAACTTAAATACCATATTTTGGGCGTTCAATAATTCCATCACAATGTTTCTAGAGGCTGAACCATATTTCCCTTTGATTTTCCGATAAATTTTCCTATGTAGGATTTGGCTACGGAAATAATAAAACGGCACGACTTTAACGTCATTGGGGTGAGGTGGACAAGAGGCTCGTTCTTGTTCGTGAGTTTTGTGTTGCTGAACGCATTGGTGGTGGCTCTGGAAGTCGTCCACCTCCTAGGATGGCTCGTACAGAACAAAGGCGTTGATGTGAGAGACGTGCATCTCATTGGACACTCCATGGGAGCTCATATTTCCGGTCAGTTAAGGGAATTACAACGTTTACCTATACAAGGAATTTTGATTTATAGAGATATATTATCAATTTCTAAATGGATTAATATATTATAATGTGATATGATATAGAAACAATAAAAATAACTATGATGCTGAGATGCTATTCGAGAATCTAGTCTTGGGACTAGTGCTAATCAAATATCACACCAGTGAACAAATACCTCGTAATACTCATACCCATTCAGACCTACCTCTAATTCTTCACATGATTCAGCACCAATCACTTGGCAGGATACGTTGGGGAACGGGTCCCAGGATTGGGCCGAATAACAGGGCTGGACCCATTTCAGCCTCCCTTCCACGGCATGCCGCCTTCAGTGCGTTTAGATCCTTCGGACGCTTCTTTTGTAGACGTCATATACTCGGACAGTAACTATACTGACTCTAGCGGTGAGAATTACTTCAAGTTATCTAAGTTCATTTACTTTGCTCATCATTATTGATGTTCCCATGAGCTTCAACATTTCTCAATGGAAAAAATTAATTATTTTATAAAGGTGCGAATGGTCAAAGAATTGATTATTATGGTCAACGAATTACGGTCAATGAATTAATGCCATATTTTAGAACCCAATTTAATTGCGGATTATCGAGGCCTTGTGGATTGTTCTACTGGATCCGATAAGTGGCTATAAAATTTGACGTATATTTCTGATCCTGATGAAAAGTTATTTGTTCTCGTTAACGCAGAATTATTCACATTTTTTATTTTTGAAATTTTCATTACCAAAGCAGAAATTCTCACCCTCTATATTTTATAATTAACCATTACACAAATTAGTACCGGTCATTCGAAGAGTAATCTACCGTATCACCGTTGTCCAAAAACATTTAAAATCAAAACTTGGTACAATATATTAATAGCAACCTTAGTCTGCGTACTATATACTCGTCCAATTGAAAACTTGAAATGAGGCAAACAATTCGAGAGGACCATTACCTACCATTAACTCCGAACCGTATTTTTTCATAAAAGGCGCCGAATACTCTGGGTAATGTTAACTGAAACTAATATAAATGACATACATCACACAAACAACACGTGTATTGGAATAGATATCCGCGGTCTATATGTGCCAGCCCAAAATAACCGCTTAGAGTAACGGCTGCTGCTTAACACCATCAGCGCTCTAGTCTAATTCAAATGGCACTGCTGCGCAGTGGTCAAAATGCAAGTCAACTATATATAGTCAGTCAGAAGATGCCTTTAAATGAGTTGCATACTAATTTCTACTGTAAGATTACCTAATTAGACATTATCAAGATACATATATTTTTATTTAAAAAATAATTTTTTCAGTCGTATCTTATTAATAACTTTTTTCAAAAATAGGAATCATTTTGCTTACTCAGGTCGGGTCCTGTTTAAGCCTGGAGAGCTGGCTGGTCACGTGAACTTCTTCCCCAACGGTGGAAGCAACCAGCCAGGCTGCGGACTTCTCAGCTCACCTGAATGTACGTTATAAAGTTCAAAGAGCACGCAGAACTGAAATAATATCTCGCGATAATATTGTATATTATTATATATTATCTGTATAAAAATATAGAATTGTTACAGTGTAACAAATTTTTCATAAACATATACCAATTTGAATACACTTTACAGAAAGGGACAAGCAGTAGTCTGCCCTATGTATTAGGGCTGCTTTTTTTCTTCAAATTTCCACAATATTGTCACTGTGCTATCCCAGTAAAATATTAATTGTATACGATTTTACATTCATTTTCATGTGAAATTTCAGGCCAAGCGACAACTGCATTCGAAAGGAAAATTTGAATTAGATTTAATTTAATTTAAACTTCTTTACGGCAGTGTTTGCTTGCAGTCATTTGAGGGCAAAGAAATTCTTCCGTGCTTCAGTTACGTCGTCCTGTCCGTTCCTGGCCTTCCCATGTGACTCATACGAAAACTTCATAGCGGTAATACTGTTATTGAACCAAGATTGAATCTCAAAATATCCCAATCCAAATAACTATCTGGTTCTGATTCCAATTTCTGAAACTTCATTATATTATTATATTCTTCATTTGATTTTTATTTACTGCATTCAATATTGATGGACAAAACTTATTATATTAAATATTCTTCACATATTATTAAATATTCTTCACCCAATACATTTTCCATTAGGTAATACATCATTTTCAAACGGTGATTTTCATTTCGTTTTCAACACGGAATTTCAAAAATTACACTCACAACAGGGCAAGTGTTTCTCATGCTCCGGTCCCCTGGGCTGCGCGCCGATGGGCCTGAATGCGGACTTATGGAAGCCCCGCGGCAAGGAGGGAGTGGCGATGTTCCTCTCCACATCGTTACGTCCGGACTTCTGTCGTGAGTCTTAGATGACGTACCTTAATGCTATGAAAATTAAAAAGTATTATTATTGGAGACAAATATTCGTATATGCCTCATTGCCCAAAGGTCCATGATCTTCTGGCGTGAGACACGGAAAGAAATAGAAATTAAACAGGCTGTTAATTCATAAAAATAACTAATATTTTGCATGGAGTTGAATTTAAGGTTGCACCTTGGATACGGTAAAGATATGAAAAACGAACACGACGCAAATTGTAACAAGAAATTAAAAAGCCCGAGAGTTGTATTCCTTCTCCGCAATCGCAGTTAAATATTAAAACGAGGTGTGTGTTGGAAGCCAGTATTTCCAAAATTCACTATAACTCTACATTCCTTCCTTACGGTAAACATTCGGGAGGGCACGGTGGCCTCTGCAATAAGCGTTGAAAGCTACAGTAGCCGTAAGCCCACCGCCACAGTTTGAACCTGTCCTCATTTTATAAATATACTGCCATTATGGCCCTAAACTCCATACTTAACAATCTTAACTCCCAAATAGTGTCCATCTATCCTCGGACCTAACCATCCGGTCATGAACTGCGGGATGGTAGTGAGGTGGACTAAGTGATGAGGTAGGGCAATGATGAGTTAATGTTTCTATTGCGGCTTTCATTTAATTTAGCCAGTCTGTTGCAAATGTAGTCCCGTTTCCGGCGATTCAGCGAGACATGCAGCTTCTTATATTCGAGTCTAAGTATAGTAACTTGGCTTGGTTTTTGGCTATTTTCTTTTCTTTTAAATTCCTGGTAAATTTGCAACTCAAGCAGCCAAGTGATTTTAATACTTAGTAACTGCATATTACACATGGCTTTTGCTCAAAACTAAGTTATAATAAGTAAATTCGAGGCCCACGAATGTTTTTCCCTATGAAAGACAGCCCGTCATCGATGAGGCTTTTCAAACAGTGTTTCTTTTCTTGTCGCACAGGTATTGGGGGTGAGAGTATACGCTTCCAAACAGAGAGTTTCAATAATTGCGTCAGGTACAGTTATCAATACAATTGGTATTGATTGAAAGGGGATATCACTATCAATATTATCATTTCATGTGAGATGGGTATTAAATATAAAAACCTTATTCCACAGAGTACCACTCTCGCCTGACTCTGCACCTTCCCTCCACTGTCGAGTCGCAGAGTTACTTGTACGGACGCATCAGAGCTACTCTGATGAGAGGCTCAGTGCGTCTGCAAACTTTTTGGCTGCCAAGAAGGTTCGTCAACATCAAAGTTGTATGATCTATTTTGAGAGAACAGAAAAGTTGCTTTCAGTGTCAAACGCTGGCATGACAATAAATGTAAACCTTTAAAACTCAAAATCCCGCAAAATATGTTCAATTCTCACTCATGAAGTAGCATTTACTCGTGTACAGTATTTGAAACATAAATGGAAAATACTTTAATAATTTCCAATTCATTTACTAGAAGCCATCATTTTTACATGAACGGAGTTTTACATGAACGGAATAATAAATTTTAGTATTTTGATAAAGTGAATACGTAACGTATGGGTTGTAAATGGTGCCTGTACAAGAGGCTAAGCGAAGCAGTCATGATCATGGTTGAATTATTATTCAACCATGGTCATGATGCATTCTTTCATGATCAGGTGACAACAGCAATATTACTTGAAGATGGGTTGGAGTAAAACACTACCTACAATTGAGAATATAATGAAAATCAATTATAGATCCGAACCTGAACAAAATTGCTAGTATTGTACTCTGTTGTCCAAATAGATTTTAATTAAGGTATTTATCTCTATCCATTTCACTCTTCCGGTTTCTTTCTTTTAAACACTCCCCTTCTCAATGAGGCATCTAAAGATTCCTGAACACGTTGTTCTGATACAGATATATGATTCCACTCAACAGTGTGACTACCGTGTGGCACCCGCGTGTATCACGAATACCCCAGCCATATTGCGTGAAGTCATGGTTGAACTATATATCTACTAGTTCAACCATTGCGTGAAGTGGCCACACGCGCACTGATAACAATTCTTCCTGTCTGCCGTCTAGTGCACTAGCTATTTCTCCTTCAGTACTGTCATGCTGCTTCTTTACTTGTAAAGATAACTCAAAAACAGATGGCAAAATTGTATTTTGACGTTATTTAATTGGTATAGAGTTCACGTCATTGTCGCTCGTGGACTATTGATGGTATTATAACAGATATTGTACTAACAGCACGTTAACTATACTGAATAAATTGATTGACAACTGAATAAAAATCAATCAATCAATCAATCAAACTGCCGTTAGAAATTACGGCCATTATCGCTACCATTAGTGCAGATGTACTTATTTCGGTTGCATTCTTCACGGCTTACTACTAGTCACTTATAGATAGAAGTTGTCTGATCAAAATCTCCGTAACATTTCACAAAATAGTTGGTATAGTATTTTTACAAGACAACTTTTTAGACTGCATCTTTAAACTACGCCATATTCACACACACATTTCAGATACATACATTTTAGATTCGTTGGGCAGAGGTTCCGTGCGTCTGGAGCTCGGCACGTCGCCGACGTTTCTCCTTCGTCACGGCGACGACCACAGCTCCTGTGACGGCGTTGAGCTGAGCTGGCATGCGCAGCAGGACGTGTTCAGGCCATGCAAGGGACGATGTGAGCTTCACTTGCGCCTCTCGCACGTCACCTTCACGCCTCTCGATAACCGCGGTGTCCTCACGGGAAAGAGGTAAGATGTTTTGTAAAAAACTTGTTCATTGTTGTACGTTTGTTGATGGGGAAATTCGTTTTATGCTTTTCAATTTTTGGTTTTTCATTTAGATGTTTTTTTCCAAATTTTGAATTTATACTTCCATGTACAGTAATTTTCCCAAAGTATAATAAATCATTTGTAATACTTTAAATTCTAAATTTTATATTTATGATTCGTTCATTTTAACTACTAATCTATGAGTATAATAGTTTAAACTACGTAAAAATGTATCACATAAAGTGTAATCAGAAAAAGTGGCACACAAATTCTAACCAGCGGAAGAATTTGAGCCAGTTGCGCAAGGAAAGATTTCTTATAAAAGCCTTCTCGTATTGACATAGATATCACTCTCGCTTCTGTCGTATCGTTATTCGACATCTTGACGCAAACATCTGTTGATGTTTAGATTCAGTGATTAGATCCATGAAGTTGCCAATGTATAACAAATTGGTTTAAATGTAGCAAGCTACAAGTGGCGAAGTTAATGAAGGTCATGTTGAGACTAAAATTTGCATCCTAATATAAATGGTTGAACCTTATAACTGGAAGGGTCATGTCCGTAAAACTGGTTTTCCATATCGAATTAATAGCGGAGCCCTCATACAAAAAGTGAAGTCGACCACATGTATAAATTCATATTCATGGAATTAGTGATCTGTGCGATGAGAGCTTAATCACTACTGTGCCATGTTTTCGCACTTGGACGGTTCACAGACCGTTGCTATAACTTGTCGCAAAATGAAAAAAAAACATAATTCAGTACTCACTGCATTGAGTGACAGAGAGCGCATTTTCTCGTCGACGAAATACGTGAAGTCACGGACGGACAGACGGAACGACAGACGTACGGACGGACATGACGAGCACAATAGCGTCTTTTTTCCATAAATGAGAAAATGCGCTAAAAATAGGAATCGAAATTTTCTGTTCAAATATTTCCCGTAAATCCATTAGTAGCTTTGTTCTTAACTTATCTTTTTCAGGTCAAGCATCACTATGTGCGCTCCCAGCCTCCGTCAAAACGCCACCATTGCCAGCGGAAAAACTGTCAATTTTACGGCACAATTTGAATGTTAATTAAATGATTGAATTTAGCCTTTTACACAAAAACTTACATCATGTTAAAGAGAAAACTTGTCAATGAAGATTATCGATTCGCTAAATCTTGTGTGTGATCTTTGCTCAACATCAAGTGTAGAGAATTGCAGACATGTGCAAAGTCTGCTTTCTTTAATTTAATTTAATTTAATTCGGTCTTTAATTTAATTCGGTCTTTAATTACGGTCTTTTAATTTAATTACGATCTTTAATTCTTTACGGTCTTTACTCGGTCTTTAATTAAACCAGTCGGAATCTAGCCAATGAATTACTGTACAAAAATTGTAATTAATTCTGACCTCTTTAAGTTTGATCCAAATTTATATCATAAAATGGACGAAGACAAGATTGAATTACTTCTCAATTGCCAAAACTACCCGTCAAAATTAACAGATGGTAGCTGATGAGTTGTCGCCTGTCGAAGATGGCGCTGGTGTGCAAAGTTATAGTATTCAGGTAGGAAATCGACGATCTGTTTGATTCAATTATGAATTGATAAGTTTGAAATCTTTGCAGGCGAAGGTTTATTCAATAAATAATAAAGGAACAAAGTAATATTTGTTTTTAATCGAATGTTTACGAATTTAAAAGCGAATTTATTAGCGAAACAATAGATGGTCATGAAAACAACATTTCTTGCTGACGTGTTCGTCCACAACGATTAGTAGCAATGAAATACAATGTGTTCCTGTAGAGTGCAAATGTCTACTTAACTTTGAAAAATATGAATGAGATCCACTTGTTAAATGCCACTTAATTTTTAGTACTGATTTGGAATTAATTTAAATTAATAATTTAACATTATTTAACAAGTCATGCTTCGCATTTTATTTTAAGATGGCAGTTGGAAAAGAGAAGAAGCAAAAATAAATTTGTGAATAACAATTTTCAAATCTGATGAGTGGTGATATATTTTACATTTTCAATCATACTCGTAACTATTTTCCGCCTATGATTATTCTAATATACAAAATTAAAAGCTTTTTACAACAAAAAAATGTTATTCAACAGTTTGGTGGTTACAAAGATGAATTATTGTCTTCAAACTCATCTGAGCAACTCGCAAAATTAAAATATTTTCCTCGTTGAAAATAATTGCGCATTAGGGCTGTTACCTGAGAACTGTTCGGTCGACCTTCACGTAATGATGGATAAAGTTGTACACTGTACAGCCTTGAGCTCCGAGTTATTTTTTTTTTTTTTTTGTCGCGACAAATGCAACTTGATTGCGCAAAGGTCGTCGGGGCCTATGAAGAGGATTTTCCGTTTTTTTTTTTTTTTTTTTGTCGCGACAAATGCAACTTGATTGCGCAAAGGTCGTCGGGGCCTATGAAGAGGATTTTCCGGCATTATCGTTGACCACTTGAGCCTGTGAACACGCTTCCGTGATGTTCTTCAGAATGGAAAAGTTCAAACAGAGTTTTTGAGAAGAATTAACTGTACTGAATTAGAATTTGAAGAATAACAGAAATAAGAAGAATAAGAATTACAGTACTGAATTTGAGAAGAATTAACTTAATTAACTTTGAAAATTATTCATATATATGACTTACGTTTAAAAAAACTAATTCTTGAATAGTGGAAAATCACGTTGAAAACGCAGATCTGGTGTATATATATATAAAAAGATAAAATCGCAGCATAAATCCATTTGTCCTGCGTATAAAAACTGCGTAAACTTTTCACTCGCAATGGTTAATGAAGCCGTTGAACAAATAGAATTTGTATTCAACATGACTGATTTCAAGATGAAAACTGCAGTTATGTTGTTCATAATAATTATTTTAAACATCAAAGAAGCTTACCCATCTCCGTCGAATGACTCAAATTTTGGTTTGATTACTTTGGGAAACAACACAACGATGTTATCTGAAAAAATATCAAATATTCATCGTAACGAAGGTAGAATTGTTAAAAGTTCAAACCCATATGTTGGACGCATAAATGTTTATCGTAGAAAAGAAAATTATTTTCAAATTAAACTTTCGAAACAAACTTCTAATATTGGTAAGCACGAAAACTCAGCAGAAGAAACCCCCGGGAATACCCGAGCTAAAAGACAAACTTTTAACGAACGAAAACGTCAAGTATCCAGCCTTCGATTCCCTTCTATCCAGCGAATAAATGAATATGCAGGCAACATTCCTGAATTTTTCCGGCACCTCTTAGATAGCATCAGCACAAATCCCTTCTCGAGCGCCCTTGCTGCGAAAATCAGACGTCTTCTTGGTGCTGATGGAAGGATGGCGAGAGAAAATGGTGAGTCATTGTTTAATTAATTATTAAATTATTTAAACAATATAGTATAGTTGGATAGTAAATTAATTACCTTAATTTACTATCCAACTACTTAATCTTTAATTACCACACAATATAGCGTTCACCAGGATTATGTCAACTCAATTTTGTAAGTCTTTGGAGATAGCGGCGGGCTAGCTTTACAGTCAGATAAAATAAACTTCAATAAAAATATGAACGATAACATGTGCAAACAAGCCTGGCTTCATTTACATTTTCAGCCTTCTATTATTCATTTCCAGTTCCAATTACTTCATTGTCTACATTTAATTCTTTTAATTATCATAGTGACACTGACGTCCTCTAAAATTAATTCTGTCCTATTCGGTCTGCAAACAATCCATGTGATCTTCGCCAATGTATTGAAAATTGAAATTTTACAAAGCTCATTTTCAATTGGTACTTGCATTTTGTTAACATGAAATTTCCAATGACAGGCCAACTGCAGCCCGAGTTCGAAGAGAAGGAGTATTGCTTCGGTGAGATCGGCTGCTTCAAAGTTACTCGCGATTTCTACGATCCTGTTTTGCGGCCGTTGAACGTGCCTCCGGAATCGAGAGAAGAAATTGGTACAAAATTCATTCTCTTCACTCAAACTCAACCCAAAGGGCTGGTCGTTAACCCACGGAATTTGGATGTTCTAAATAATTCGAGTTTTAACGCAAAACTTCCAACCAAAATCGTCGTCCACGGTTGGCTAACAGATTCTGAAACCACATGGGTTGAGGTAAATAAATAAAAATTTATTAATATTTTAATTTCTCTGCAGTAACTGAAATTTATTAATATGTAAATAATGCGACTTTTTCTATGGTTCCTTGCTCCTGCGCTATCCAACACCATGCTTCAGAAGTTATCTTGAATTTTATGAACATCAATGATCATACAATATTAAATGTACATCAATGAACATGCTATATTTTAAGTACATCAATGATCCAGCTATATTATATGTACGTCAATCATCATTCTATATTTTATGTACATCAATGATCATACTATATTACATGTACATCAATGATCAAGCTTTATTATATGTACATCAATGATCATGCTATGTTTTACTTCATCGAGGAACTGCCAAAAGAAATAATAGAACGACACAACTACAATGTCATTGGAGTGCGGTGGGCTCGAGGCTCGTATTTGTTCTACGACTTTCTGTTGCTAAACACATTGGTGGTCGCTCTGGAAATCGTCCACCTCCTAGGATGGCTCGTACAGAACAAAGGCGTTGATGTGAAAGACGTACATCTCATCGGACACTCCTTAGGGGCCCATATATCCGGTCAGTGCTCCGAATCATGACAGACAATTCATTGAAAAATATCGGCGCTGATGAGTGAAAAATAAAAATTTAGTCATTCGTAGGCTTTCAGCAAATCGAGACTTTAACAGAACCAAATTATTCAAAAGTGACAAGCAAATAACCAAGAAGATTCGTGAATTTCCAAGCAATCAAAAATTGCAAACCAATTCTTGACAGTAGAACCTTTAGGACCAGGTAGACCACGATGATATAATGATAAACTTAATACACTAATTATCATACCACATCTGGTTAATGGATCTGAATGCACCAAACTCCATAAAAGAGTCCCTCTTTATTAAAGGATATGTCGGCGAGCGGGTCTCTGGGCTGGGTCGGATCACAGGGTTGGACCCAAGTCGGCCAAAATTCCAAGGCATGCCGACTTCAGTGCGTTTGGATCCTTCAGACGCTCTTTTTGTTGACGTCTTGCATACGGACAGCAACTATACCGACCCTAGAGGTGAGAGCTTTAATTCAGTTATCAACGGTACTTTCAGTAATCTTGTTAACAGTTCTATATATTTATTGACTCAATGAAGTTGGGATCAATTTCAGACGAATTCATTCATTTATACACAGTATCTTTGACGAAATATAGTATGGTTTATTTATATCTTACATGGCATAAGTTGTAATCAAATTGGATCCCATCTAATGAATGCGAAACTTAATAACAATAATTTTCTTTTCTTTCTTATAACAAGATCAAAAGAAGGCAGTTAGGAGCATAAGCTTAGCGACAACAATTGAGACTGAATTAGGATATCTTAAATTTATCCAGCCCGATGCATTTGGGAGCTAAATAACAACTATATCCTTAATTAAAAATACATTTTAATCCCTCAGATTATAATAAATTTGGGAGTGGGGAGCTGGCAGGTCACGTGGACTTCTTCCCCAACGGAGGAGGCAACCAGCCAGGCTGCGGCTTCTTCACCCCACCTGACAGTGCTTTCCATTTTTTAAATTATGTTTTAAATCATGTTTATGTTTATTAATTATTTTTATGTTATGTTATGCTCTTTAAATTATGTTTATGTTAATTATTATTTCGCTCTTTAAATTATTTAAATGACTGAGATTTGAAATTCTTTACGTATGAAAAATTACAACAAAGAACGTCGTTAAAATTACGAGTTACTCACGATTCTAATATATATTCAACATATTTGGATTAATTAGTTTGGATTAATTACCGCAATTTTGTCGTAAAAGTAATGTCTTTCACGGTTTTATAAAAAGTTGCGCTAAACAATCACAAATGTGCCTTTCGATTCACAGCAAAATATTACCAGCAGTTATACTATAGTAAAGATAGTATTTCAGTGTCAATTCATTATTCGCAATGACGGTGGTAAAACGGTCTGACCGGCGTTCTGATGGCAGGCCTCCTCCGTGAGAATAAACAGTTTGCCGTTTTTTCAAATGTGGTACGGGTTTCTTGTGTTAAATTTGGAAAAAACGGCTAAGCGGTTTTTTATTTCACTTGCCAGACGGCCCCAGAAATGACGGTATTGCCGTTTTTCTGAAATTTTTCGAACAGTGACACCATTCTCGTGGGCAGTGTTCGCGTGCAGTCACACCATGGTGAAGAGATTCTTTCGGGCTTCTGTTACGTCGTCGTGTCCGTTCCTAGCGTTCCCGTGTGACTCATACGAGAACTTCAAAAAAGTAACTTTTGAGTGAAATTAGGTTTTAAACTAAACAGTTCTTACACCGTCGCATTCAAAAAAATTATTTCTATGGTGTTTCGAACCAGGGACGTATTCTGCTCCCTTGTGATAACTGAGAAAAATTCCAATTTATTTTACCCTCTCCTACGTGTAAATATGATAGATGATTTAGACACCATAATTTTATGGAAGAACTATAGACTTTCCAATAATTTTCTCAACAGGGCAAGTGTTTCAGATGCTCCGGTGCCCTGGGCTGCGCGCCGATGGGCCTGAATGCGGACTTGTGGAAGCCCCGGGGCAAGGAGGGAGTGGCGATGTTCCTCACCACATCGGGCCAACCGGACTACTGTCGTGAGTCTTATATAATGTACTTTAATACTATGGAAGTTAAAAAAGTATCAACTATTGGAGGTAAATGTGTGCCGCGCTGCTAGCCGGCCAACGAACTACAGGCGTGATCGAGTGACGTAAAGTTCACTCACGCGATAGGATAGTTATTTATTTGTTTTTAAAGTAAATAGAGACCTGTTCTCCTCTCTTTCTGGGCTTGACCGTATAACTTCCAATGCAAACAGAAAATAAAATAAAAAATTTGTCTGATAACTTTGATGTATTTGGCCATTGACATTTGATATCACAGAATGCCCTGACAGTGGGATGCCACATGAAAGTTTATTTCTTGTTGAATTTTATTCCATTCCATGGCCTCAGTTTTTTGTTGAGAATAATATGATAAAATTAAAAACTTGAATTGACAATATAGCTTACTTTCCTCTTAAATGATAGAAGTTTTTCTAATATATTATTTTTCAGAATACCATTCTCGTCTGACTCTGCACCTTCCCGTCTCTGACAAGTCGAATAGTTACGCTCACGGTCGCATCAGAGCTACATTATTGAAGGGCTCAGAGCGTAGGAAAGAATTCTGGTTACCAAGAAGGTCCGTATATTTAATAATATATTAAATTATTAAAATCAATAACCAATTGATTTAATACAATGGAAAATAATTAATAAATCATTCGACTGCGTGAGGCTGTGTATTTGTGGCAATGAAATATTACGCTATGTAGAAAGAAAATTTCGTCACTAAAATTTTGTTATGTGCAGAGGCGCCGTGCGTCTGGAGCTCGGCACGTCGCCGACGTTTCTCCTTCGTCACGGCGACGACCACAGCTCCTGTGACGGCGTTGAGCTGAGCTGGCATGCGCAGCAGGACGTGTTCAGGCCATGCAAGGGACGATGTGAGCCTCACTTGCGCCTCTCGCACGTCACCTTCACGCCTCTCGATAACCGCGATGTCCTCACGAGAAAGAGGTAAGATGTTTTGGTCTTAAGCACGTTCATATATTAAGATGTTCTACATTGTAGTTTCTTCCGCGATTTTGAGCATTACGCAATTTTTTTACTCTTTATTCTTAAAAAAAATTTTGTGCCATCGTTTGATTGATAGATTGTTTCAAGTGCACCTATAGAATTCTCTGTTCTCTTGATCTCAAATTCAGTTTTGAAATATCACACCATCAGAAAAAGAAAGGACATTTCGTGTCAATTATTAAACGTTTTTATAACCTACTTTCGGTGCAATCTACCTAGGTTTCCTTCTCACTTGTGATGCAATTCTTTCACTTACATTTTAAGAAATTGAACTGCATTTTTAACGTATTCGTACGACAATTGTATGATATTATGCACCTTACCTCTTACATTTTTCAGCTCCAACGTCTTAATGTGCTCTCCCGGCCCCTACCATCTTAACGTCACCATCACCAGCGGAAGGAAGGCTATGTTTACATCGAAATCGTGTCAAACTTCTCACAGAAATATCTTGTTATATAATTGAGCTTGATTTCTGATTTCAAATCGAGAAGAAAAATGTTTGTCTGATGAACATTAATAGCAAATGACTTATGCTATTAATGTCCACAGCCAAATTTATGCTTACGGTCAGATTGACATTAAAAAGTACAAAACTGTTGGCCGTACTTGAGCAAGTGCGTTTAAAACGATCAACGAACATTTGTTTCAAGCCCTGAAATTTTGGAATGGTCGAACAACCATGAACTGACTTCATAAGTTTTTCAGGTGCATTTCATCTCATATACCTTTTTTCGGTAATTTTTTTCCGGTGTTCGGAGATTGTGCTACGATAACATATTTTGGTCGGTACTAATGAATTTGTTCTATTCGAAAAGCAATTTTTGGTAGAGAAATAATTTTTACATGGTTAATGATGAATAAAAAATCAGCGTTTCGAGGTTTAACATATTTATAAGAATGCATAAAGAAGAAGAACTAATCAATCAGAAAATGTACAAAGACAGGAAAAATATTTGTTCCGATTGTTGTGTTTTTCACATAAAACCTTGTTTTCTGCAAAAAATTCATAAGGGCTTACGTTAACCGTCAATGCCCTTATATTAAGATAAAAAATTCATCGGAGTCACTCGATCTGCTGAACGAACTCTGAGAGCCATGATAACCTGTACTTTCAGCATTACTTACACAGCGTTTCGCTGCAGCAATGTCCCACCATCTAAACAAGAGCCAGATGTAGGATTATTGCTCTGAAACTGAACAATGGTGACATCACAAGCCCATAATGTAAAGTTTTTTAAGTACATCATAATTAGTACATAATGGCAGAAGATAACCACTAATATTTTCCCCTCGTATGCACCATGCAAAGTCTCCTTGTAGCTCCCAAGCACACAAATTCTTATAAAATAACGATCAACTTTGCCCAGAGCGATTAGGATAAGATACTGCCGTCACAAATGCCGTCCGTGATATGTTAGAGCGTTTACTAATGCCCTTTTTGACAGGATACAGTGATTACTATATAATGCCCTCTCTTATAGGTTGAAGCGTTTACAAATGCCCTCTTCGATAAGATACAGTGGTTACTAATGCCCTCTATATTATAATTTAAAGTCATTACAAATGCCTCTGCACATTGAACAATCAAATTTCCTCATGTACGTACAATACTTAACGAAATCAAATGAAGGCAAGCCCGAAAATAACTAGTCTTGATAATTTTAGTTATTGCATCTAAATTGACAGTCTTAATGCATGTAATTTTATTGTAGTTGCTTCAGCTGTTCTGGTTAGGGTTATAACAAGTAATTATTTTGTAGAGCAAAGCAAGTTCTGATGTTATCAATCCCCTAACATGAACGTCTAATTACTTTATATTATTTCATTAGCTATACCAGCATGACCTCAACTCACAATACTCGCAACAATAATGAACAAACTCGTTAAATTATGCATTAAAACGACTACTGCCACCCCTAATTATCGTGATTTGAACCTGTTCATTATTTCTAACACTACGAATCAAGGCTCGCTAAGCTCAACGGTGAGACAAAAGTCTTAAACAAAACCTAAACGGCCGCAGCCAGGCACCATCACAGCTGCTGCATGACTGCTAGTACAATATAAATCACAGTTACTACAACTTTTTCTACTATATGAACTAATACTATTACTGGCAACTGCAATTACAGTTACGGCAACTTCCGTACTTATTTTTTAACATCAACTAGATGTTAAAAACTAGATGGCAACTTAGCCTCACACAAGAAGCATTCCGCCGCATCCATGCTATGGGCGCCGCTGCTGAGTACTGGCCTTACATAAACTAACACGACTAATGGCATCAACAATGACAGTAAGAACAACTTTTGTCATTTTTTAAATGTTATTAAATAAGACTAGACGAGATCCATGGTTGTGAGGTCAAAGTCTCGAGCATCTTCGCAACCAGGCGCTGCCGCCGCTGCCGATTGTGACGCCAGAGCTCGTATCCGCGCACATTTCCACACTTGAGCTGGGGATGATTGTACTTATATAAAATTATAATTATAGAAGATTATTATTATATAATAAGAGTGCATGTGCTAAAACATTGTATTGTACCGACAATAGATGTGAAAAATAACACTAAAATCTTATCATGATTCTACAGCGACCGGTTGCTTTGATTGACAGAGTATATGCAAAAATGGAGTCCGAAGAACGAAATTATTCTTCGAAAAAAAACATCACAACCAAAATATTGTAGACAAAATGTAGACAAAAGGGTCACAAAACACTTAAAATTATTCAGGGCTAATGAATTGTTTCATAGAACACAAATTTGAATGCATTGAAAATCTCTTGGGGATAATCGATTACTATCTGAAAACGCTTGAAGTTTTTCACTAAAACTTTTGAATTTACATGGTACACAAATTAAGCATGGTCCAAAAAAATACGTAGATAATTGACGCATTTATTATATTACCTGATGCCTGTGAGGACACCGCGGTTATCCAGAGGCGTGAAGGTGACGTACGAGAGGCGCAAGTGAGGCTCACATCGTCCCTTGCATGGCCTGAACACGTCCTGCTGCGCATGCCAGCTCAGCTCAACGCCGTCACAGGAGCTGTGGTCGTCGCCGTGACGAAGGAGAAACGTCGGCGACGTGCCGAGCTCCAGACGCACGGCGCCTCTGCACAACGCGTGGTGCAGAAACATTTCAATAGCACCATTTTCTGCCTCAAGCGAATAACCGAAGACATTTAAAATATATATAAAATCTATATAAATAAATACATCAATTTATGTTGGAACAAAGAAATGAAATAGAATGGAATAATATAGTATATGTATACAGTATGTTTTAAGACACAATTGGAAAGGTTACCAACCTCTTTGTTACTTGGAAACTTTTGGAGCTGATTTTTCCCGCTAAAGTTACGTTGAGTTGACCATACACATAAGCACCAGGGGCTGCTCCAGGTTGCAGGTGCAGGGTCAGGCCGTAGTGATATTCTGTAAGAAAAAATGATATTTAAAAAAGCACGAAAAAGTCACAATTACGGGAAGCTACAACATTAAGAATATGAAATTTTAGCTCCTTATAACTTACTGACTTTTACGATATGTCGTAAGTCAATTTCTTTGCGATAAGATTAAAAAGATGACGTAGGTAAGGGAGCGAAGGGTTAGAGGGGAAGGTGAACTGATGCAACTGCGAACATGAAGAAAGCGAGGAACCGGACGACATAACGAAGAAAAGCAAAGCCAATAAAGGCGAAAGGGAATGTGAAAACCGGTGCTGAAAAGAACCTGGAAGTGGGCGAGAAACCGGCTGAGATAAATAATTCTCGATGAAGGGCGATAAACCAAATGAGGAGACAAACCGATGCATGTAGGAACATGTAAAGTGACCGGAAACCACAGGTGGAAACAGGTAAAATGACCGGAAACCTTTGTTGGGAACAGGTAAAGTGACCGGAAACCATAGGGCCAAAAATCCTCTCAAGGAACCTGAGGAATCTTATTGCAATTCCAATGACGAGTAATGCCTACTCATTTGAATGCGTCTATTCTACGTAAATGAAGGCCCGAGTCCCTCCTACAGGTGAGGGTGATAATGAAAAGTAAATTTATATTTCAAGTTCACCAAGGCACTCAGGGGCCTTCAATTATATTCAATTATATTCAAAATTATATTCAATGACCTATACGGCATTTAATTTGTGGGCCAGGGTATGATTTGAGGTTATTTATTTGTAACTTATCTTTATCTATATTAAACTTTCCATGACCAGATACGGTAGTCCAGCTGCCTAGAAGTGGTGATGGTCATTTATTAATTTACCGTAATTACCGGTACCACTTTTTAACCACATTAACACAAGTTTTTCGTAACTCACGACAGTAGTCCGGTTGGTCCGATGTGGTGAGGAACATCGCCACTCCCTCCTTGCCCCGGGGCTTCCACAAGTCCGCATTCAGGCCCATCGGCGCGCAGCCCAGGGGACCGGAGCACGAGAAACACTTGCCCTGTTGAGAGAATTATTTATCAAACTATTTGATAAATAATCCAAGAATCAATGACAAAAGCGAAGTAATGCTTCATTCACATAGGCGATCACATAATTTCGGGACTGTGAAAATATCAGCTACCATTTATATATGATGAAATAAAATAGCTGATAGTGTAGAAGTACGTTACTCAGTGGAATTATTAAAAATCAAAATGCAAATAAAAGCACAATACAAACTGATACGACTACTGGCTTCACCAATGACAATTATAACAACTTTTATAATTTTTTTAAAAGATATCAAACCAATAAAAAAAGGTATCAAAGCCAATAAAAAACTTCACTTATATTAGCTATAAGAATGTGGCCGTTCAAAACGCCCCGCTTAGGCTAGTTAATAATGTAACATTTGCTGAACCCAAAAATGCAACAACCTAGTGAAAGCTTAAGCGATTAATTCAGATATTCTAACCTTTAGGAAGTCATCATAAGTTTCACACGGGAAGGAGAGGAAGGGGCAGTCTTCCTGGATCGATGCCGTGAACAGGCGCTGGGCGAACGAATGGCTGCAACCAAAGTCTGCCAGGAATGAAATATGATTTAATGAAAAATAACAACCTTAGTGAACACAAATTGCTACACTTTCTAGGCTAGAAATTTCATTTATCAATTACAGCTAATCGGCTTTTTCCTCTTATTTGGAAAGTGTTAGATATTTTTCTGAAATCTTAGCAAAGTGTTACAATATTGGTAAAATAAAGGAAAAATCCGAATTCTTAAAAATTCTTGTTAAGTAGCACGGCGACCAAACTGCTGTTCTCAAGGCAGATCCTCCTTTAATTTCAAGTCCGTTATTTGGACATTCAATTTTATTATGAATATTTAAAATTAACAATAAAAATGCGTACAAAAAACATTGAAATACAGTCAAACATAAATAATAGGTAGCGAATACGACCTAATACGCGCTAAAAAGGACCTCAAGTGTGAAACATCGAAAGAGATGCCCTTAAAAATTATACCTCAAAAGTTAGACCTCTATGAATATTTCTAAAAAGTCATCTCATATATCATGGTCATTCCTAAAATTAGTCCAGCAAAAGTGATAACTCAAACGTGATATAATTATGAATAAATATCATTGAATTTATCTCTTGTATGTCATATACATCAATGTGATATCTCATCTCATTGTACATCAACCATCGGTGTCCAGTTCGGTGAATAAGTTGTACTGAGAAGCGATGCATACAAAGACTTCTCTAAAAAATATAACTCGGTACTCACTGCAGTGAGTGACAGAGAGCACATTTTCTCAGAATCAACGAAAACGTGAAGTCACGGACAGACGGACGGATGGACGGACGGACATGGCGAGCACAATAGGACATTTTTTCCATAAATGAGAAAATACACAAAAATATAACTCAGTACTCACTGCAGTGAGTGACAGAGGGCGAATTTTCTCGTCGACGAAAACTTGAGGTCACGGACAGACGGACGGACAGACGGACAGACAGACAGACAGACGGACGGACGGACATGGCGAGCACAATAGGACATTTTTTTCCATAAATGAGAAAATGCACAAAAAACACCAATCAAAAATATTGTTGATTATATAAGTCGAAAATAATTACCTGGCCCTGAGAGGCACCCTGGCTGAATACGGCCTCCGTTGGGGAAGAAGTCGATGTGGCCGCTTAGGTCTCCTGAACCGAGGGCGTTGCTTCCTGAAACAGGGGTCATACTTTCAAAACTCGCTAAGTGAACGTAAGTACTTACGTTTTATTTTGTTGTCTATGATTGGTGGATTTTGCTTGAAAGGCCGTCAATGATTGGCTGATGAACTTACGATCTCTAAAAGTATAGGCCCTGATCCCCAAAAAGTCAGACGAATACACAAAATCTGAGACTGATAAAAAAATATAACTCAGTACTCACTGCAGTGAGTGACAGAGAGCGCACTTTCTCGTCGACGAAAACGTGAAGTCAATGACGGACGGACAGACGGACAGACAGACAGACAGACGGACGGACGGACATGGCGAGCACAATAGGGCATTTTTCCATAAATGAGAAAATACACAAAAAATATAACTCAGTACTCACTGCAGTGAGTGACAGAAAGCGCACTTTCTCGTCGACGAAAACGCGAAGTCAAGGACGGATAGACAGACAGACAGACGGACGGACAGGCGGGCGGACGGACGGACGGACATGGCGAGCACAATAGTGCATTTTTTCCATAAATGAAAAAAACGCGCTAAAAATGAGACGTATCTTTATCAGGTTCAAATGCATTTCCAATCAAGAAGTAAAGAAAAGAATGAGTCTGAAAAATTGCTTCGACTACAAGAAGTGAGCCCGGAAGATTAACGACAAGAACCCCGACTAAATGCATCTATATCTAATAAAAAATCTCAACCTGAGTAGGATCACGATGGCCGTTAGTGTGGATGACATTGACGATTTCTGCGCTAGTAGAGTCGACTTCAATTAGTTTGAATTACGTCTAAACCAAGTAAACTAAACAACCATCCCAACCTTCCTATAGGTCAGGATGGCTGTTAGTGTGAATGACATCGAAGATTATTTGCTCTAGTGGAGCCGACTCCAATTAGGTTGAATTACATCTAAACCAACTAAACAACAGTCCAAACCTGCGTATGGGTCAGGATGGCTGTTAGTGTGGATGACATCAACGAAGACCGCGTCGGTGGGGTCGAGGCGGACAGTCACGGGCAGGCCTTGAAAGTGAGGACGCGAAGGCTCCAGTCCTGTGATGCGGCCGATTCCAGGATACCTCTCACTAACGTATCCTGCGAGGACAAAGTATTTATTTGACTATGGATTCATTATGCGGGAACAAAATGTTTATTTGACTATGGATTCCTTATGCGGGGACAAAGTATTTATTTGACTATGGATTTATTATGCGGTAACAAAGTGTTTATTTGACTATGGATTCATTATGCGGGAACAAAGTGTTTATTTAACTACGGATTCATTAACTACTCCTAATAATTTTCGCAACTGATAATTTGAAATCTAGAAGGAACACCGCTGTACAAGTGATTGAATAATTCAAGAAATTTAAATATTAATTAATGTTTTGATGGTTTTTGATCGTGGTTAGAGTATGTTCACTTCGTCAAGTGTGACAGCATTAAATATTATTTCTCAGGGTGGCATCAAATAATAAAACAACTTGTGAAATAATTTCATGTCATATGTACAGAATTAATTCACTGTATGGCAATTGTAGAATTTCAAAAAAATACTAATGAAATTAGGCATATTGAACTAATAAACTAAATCAAAAATACGTCTATTTGCGTAATACGTACCAATTATATTGTTTCTTAAACGTATTTTAAGAAACACGGCCTGTACTTGTAAACTTTTGTGCACAATGTACATTGTGAAAAACTGAAACTCTTATAAGGCACGTGAAGCCGTCAAACATCTACTGGGCACGTAAGACATGACTTCTAATTGGATTTAACAAAATTAAGATAATTTTCAATTCTTAATTTCATTACCCTTAACATTTTCAAAGTAACTTCATCTAATATGTTCAATGCCTGGTTTTGTCGATCAAAATACGAAATTACCAATAACAAAATTATTACTCCATATACAAGCAAAAACATTTCCTGTACGCATTTCCCTGGTTACGTACGCTAACATTACAACGATTTGATAATAATGCGAAATTTTTAGCTTTTAATTTTTTTTTTTAGCTTATAACCTAAAAAATATAACTCAGTACTAAGTTCAGTGAGGGACAGAGAGCGCATTTTCTCGTCGACGAAAACTTGAGGTCACGGACGGACGGACAATCACCATTTCCTACGTGAAATATGAAGGTGATAATTATACTATGTTGATGTTGTAGTCGTTGTGTTTTAGTAGAGCTTTCACCATTTCCTAAGGGAAATATGAAGGTGATAATTAGCTGCAAGCCTGCAACGTTTTATTTGCCAAGTGCAAATTATGGTAAAACATGCTTTTACTTTAGTTTTTTTGCAGCATACCACATTTTAAAACCCAAATTTTTTATTTAGCTACTGCTGCATCGCTGTAACATGTCTAAGCGATAGAGTAGAGTACATCACGGTGAGCAATGATCACCTGCTATTTTTCAATAGGGAGAGGAAACGATATTTTATAATATGAGGGAGAATAGATGAAAAGCAGATGAAAGTTCGTAAAAAATATTCATTAGAAACCACTAGAAAAAAACAAGCCCGAATCGCTCATTATCTTGTTCACTATTCTAAATAATGATTTTTTTATTTAACTTACAGACAATTAACATTATTTCATTTAATCCAACTTATGATGAATGTATTAGAAGAATGTACGGCTCGAATGGATATTAAGTAATTTCTGACCAAACTTGCGCATGTAATCAAGAAAAAGAATGCACAATTTTCATGTTTTTACTGTCATGTTTCATGTTTTTATTTTCATTTTTTCACTCACCTGAACCCAATTGATGGTACCATAACTGCTCCAACCGTGAACTATAAACTTGGTTGGTCGGCTGGCACTGAAAGTCGTAGATTTAAATTTTTGAAGGTTTCGTGGGTAGATCGTCACTCGATTTGGCTGAAGTCTCGTATACAAATCGAACTGAGTACCGATAGCCTCTCTAGATTCAGGAGGCACGTTCAAAGGGCGCAACGCAGGATCGTAAAAATCCCGAGTAAAGGTAAAGCAGCCGATTTCCCGATAACAATATTTTGATTCCTGATAATTGTCAGTCAGCTGCCCTGAAAACAATAGTGCCCAATTTCAGGTTAGTAAAAAGTTAACAATAATTCACGTATGTCCTGCAAAATTTCAATCTGATACTGAGTAGGGAAAATATTTTTGAAAATGTTATACATGGATTATGTTATTAGATTCATGATGCGTAAATACCACAAAAAACCTGCTCTTAAACCAGTTCTAAATTTAAAAATATTACAAACGTTCTTCATAAATGAAAATAAGTTGTACATAATTTTTCAAAGATCATTTTGTTACTCACGGCTTCGTTGATCGCCACTTCGAGCCTGCTTGCCAAATTTATGCGATGCAGCGACGCTGATGAACGGCATTGATGCGATGCTTCGTACCAGATTCTCGTAAAAATTAGGAACATTTTCGATGTAATTCATGACTGTTGCAGGATCAGGAAGCCGGATCGCTTGTTCAGCTGCAGCTTGTCTTTTGACGCGACCATCTCCAGAACTTAGCGACTGTTGAGTGTAGTTGACAAACCCTGTTCGGTTCACAGTAACAACCGAATTGAATCCCGATGTTTGTTTTATGTAAACCGTGTTCGAGTTCGGGATATTCGTGTAATTTTTCTGATTTTCACGAGTATCATCGAATAAACCCAAAGGTGAATGTCGTATTTCTTGCTCGATGTCACGAAGCAGACGGATAACCTTCACTTCTTCTGTAGTGCCATTGTAAGATTCATTCTTCGCTGATGTCAATTCATCCTCTTGTGGTACAGGCGCGCAAGCGCTGAACTTATTTAGCATCAAAACACTTGCAAATAATATAAGATGATTAAAAAAATCGCGGCGCCAACAAGCCATAATTTTTAATGGGCCGTTATACTGTGGTTCAAATCAATTCCGTAATTACTACACTCTCTTTCTTCACAAAGTCTATGATCGACTAATGACTATCTTATCTAAGAATCAGTATCTGCAAAAAAATATTTGTCATCAAAACGGCTTTATCTGGAGGGGATCTGAATGTTCAAACGTTAAATGCAAAATCGTATTAATTAACACGAGAATCGTGGGCATGCCATGCCAGCAGGTTTATTCTTTAGCGACGAAAATACTATGTTATGTTATGTTATGTTATGTTATGTTATGTTATGTTATGTTATGTTATGTTATGTTATGTTATGTTATGTTATGTTATACTATGTTATGTTATGTTATGTTATGTTATGTTATGTTATGTTATGTTATGTTATGTTATGTTATGTTATGTTATGTTATGTTATGTTATGTTATGTATGACACATAAGGACAGTCTGCACGCAGGTGACAGTTGCGCAAGACAACTGACAGCTCTGTAACTGACACGTCGCTATTTTGTAACTCGAAGCCAATAGCTATGCATGACAGTGCAAGAGCCAAGATGCTTCTCAAGGCCGACCGTACGCGGAAATACCTTGATTCAATAAGAAAAAAATGGCTAATGTAAAACAGTTATGTGAACGAAGATGTTGTGTTTGATGAACATTTAGCGCGTCATCTATCGTAGGTGGCATACCCTATTGACTTCAGAAAGAAATAAAATAATTTTGTCACTCGTTCGTAATTTGGTTAATAAAAACATGGCGTAGACATTTTACATGTTTTTTCCAAGTCATAAGCTAAGCCTAAATTGGCTATTTAATAAGTTTTCACCTACAATAGAAACTAGCCTATGTAATTTTCTCAATGGCATCCCCAACTTCAGCCGCTGTAACGAAATAGATTGAATTATCTCATGTTCTGTGAACTAGAAGATTTCAGGAACAGAAATTTCTTTTATATAAATATCAAAAAAAAATTTCAAATGTTTGCGAATATCCATACTCCTACATTATTATTTATCCCCATTCATACACAGTTACTCGCACAGTCTTATCTTAAGTTATTGTTAAAATATAAGGAAAATTCAGCTCCATGACAGAGCAATGTGAATCCGTACCAGAAATATTTATATAAAATATAATTATTTCAGCATTTGTTTTGATTTTATTGAAGCGATGAATTGTGAGTTTAACGAAGCGCTTATTTCACTACAACTATTATTGAAAAGTCTCATCTAAACATATCCCAAAGCTCACACAATCTGTTTATCCCCAATTATTAGTTCACACTCAAAACCTTATATGACGTTTGCTAACGCAAAATAGGCAAATTAGGATTCAATTAAATTTTAACTCGTATTAATCTCTTTAAAGTCATGTACTAAATCTCTCATTAATTGCAACACTCATGTGAAATAATATTTCATAGTAATATTATTAACAACCCTATTCGGACCAATTTCTTCCGTCGAATGTTCAAGGTCATACATTTCCAACGACTTTAAACTATTTAATTGATTTTTGCTGTATTATTAATTTATTTAGGTCTGTAGCAAGGTTTTTTTTCTTGTTGGAATTATCATAAATTTGTACTTTTATTACCGTTTGGCATTAGTTGGGTATAGCCATCTTCAGATTTTAAGTATTGTTTAAAATTACAATTCAAATATCGTTCCTGTACGAGCTGAAAATCCTTCAAAAAAAATTTAACGCAAAAAAATCGGAAATAACTTTTCTTGAAGATATTTTTCAGATCATCTTGAGAAAATTCTAGCAGGTACTGCTTTGCGTAACAATAATTAACGTAATACGTATAATTAAGAGGCACTTCGAATGTTATTCGAAGGGAATGAGGCACTTCGAATGTTGTTACGTTAATGTGGTTTTGGAATTCTAGTTTTTGTTCTGCGCTGGACGGTCGCTCGTTGCCTTGCCCTGCTGAATAGTAAACAGTTAATGAAGCGAGCCGCTTATGTCCTGCGTGTTAAACCAATATTGAGGAACCCCCGCCTTCCCTGATTGCAGGTAGTGCATTTAGCTATGTTGTACAATGTTTCTAGTCTTCATTTAAGTCTTATTTTCTTAATTAATTCTATTGTAAATCGTTAAACTAACCACCTCAATGTAAGAGGCTTAATGACGATCCCGCCCCAAAGTTGTAAAATTTTTCTACCCAATGTCACTGGCACTTCTAAGTATCCATTATAATTTTCACCTAGATCCTCCGGAGCTAGTAAAATATTCAAATTTATTATGAATTTGATATCTAATCAACAGAATTTACAGCCTTATGGTTACAATTTACTTCGCGTGATCCTGAATCTCAAACTCTCAGCCGTATTAACTATAAGAGCCATGGCAGCACGCGTGACCGGTTTTGTTTTGCTCACTTAGAAATATGGGTGTGTCATTATGTCTAAATAGTGACACACTTTTTACTCGTAAGACTGATACGCCATTTTTCTGGTAAAACAGGATCAGGGTGATCCACAGAAAGGCAAAAAGTACATCGCTATTTGTACAGTTCCACGCAGTAATCTGAGTGTAAATGGCCATTGTTCGCGTCACGAAGTCCTCACCGACAGCAGATCTGTAGCAATACCAGCTTTATTAAATATAATAATATTTATGGAAATATTTGCGAGAGTTAAATGAACATTCAAAATATACTAAAAAATATATATTCCATAAAAAATCAAAATATACTACTCCATTTTTCTCACGCATAATGAGAGATTAGTGATAATTTACCACCTAAAAGCATGGAACTCCCCACATAATTAACTGCGAGGTAGAAATATCTCTTTATATCTAATATTTGATCATTTTTAAGGCATTTTCTCATTTATGGAAAAGTGCACTATTGTGCTCGCCATGTCCGTCTGTCTGTCTGTCCGCCCGTCCGTCCGTGACCTCAAGTTTTCGTCGACGAGAAAATGCGCTCTGTGTCACTCACTGCAGTGAGTACTGAGTTATATTTTTTTATATTAGTTAATAATCCATCACCGTATCACAAGATTTGTACTTTCATTGGATTGTTGTCTGAGATAAAATGTTATATATTTGGTTCGAGGATGAAATACCAGGTCTATGCTGGGTCTAAAGAAATCAAGTTGACTTCAATTCAAGTTAACTTAGTTTAAATTATTTAATTTGTGTGTTTTATCATCACGCTGTGCAATTAAAAGAAAACGTATTTATATTTGGTCGCATTTACTGGTAACGAGTAACAAATGTACGATTAATTTCATTTAGTTCAATGAGAAACCCACCTACGTGAAACAAATCCTGCTCGAGGATATTAGCAAGCCTCCTGTAATCCTGCTCGAGGATATTAGCAAGCCTCCTGTAATCCAGTTCGAGGATATTAGCAAGCCTCCTGTAATCCTGCTCGAGGAAATTAACAAGCCTTCTGTAATCCTTCACGCGCTCGGGTAATCCCTACCTTGCCCCTGAGGCAGCCTAGAATCAACCATTTCATGATTAAAAAAAGGCACATGAGTCCTTGAAGTTTTTATTGCCTGCCCTTGCAACAATTGATGCATATAATGTGCAATTTGCAGGCCTATGGGCCTTACATTTCTTGCACATTTTTCGGAGCTAAAACGATATAGGAAAGAATGTGCTCGAGAAATCCGGCAGCACACAGGAAATTAAAAATGCTTTAAACTTTTATTTTGTGTTCATTTTTTAATTTAACATCAGCTACACTGATTGATACATACCGATTGAAGGACAAGCTTACATTCATAGGGTAACAATTTTTAAATAATATTTTTATCATGTCCCTATGCCTATTTAATCAGGCTCAGTCCAAGACAGGTTTTAATCGCGTTTTTTATCATGTCCTATGCCTATTTAAAGAGGCTAATCCCAAGAACTTCGTCTTGCACGCTGACAAAGAAGCACAAAAAAAAAACTATTCGTAATTCCAAATGACCTTCAGGTTATCACTTATCACCGCCGCCGTTTATGGTCTTGGTTTGGCTGGCCACACTAATGCCTCCTAAAATTTTAACTTCACTTGACGGAGAGATTTACCGAGGAATTGAATGACCGATGTTTAACCAGCACTAAACCTTTGATGATTCAAAAATAATTTAGACTAAATTAATACAGGTGCTGTAAAAATCTTGTAAAATCACCAGAAATGCGAGTCACTCTTATTATATATGATATTCAATAGGCAATGCAGCAGTGGAAAACAATGTGCTTTATACAGAGAAATTATCAATGATAATGCGAGGCGCGAACTCTAAGCATAATAATTTGGCAGAGGTCATAGCTTTAAAAAACTGATCTCTTTTAACCTTTTTGCTAAATTACTTCCTGATTTGGGAGGGTTAATTACGAGGAAGGATATTTTTACTTTTGTTCTAAAATTTTATTTTAAAATTTGCTGCAGTGAACTCCAAGTCACTTGAGACAATTCCGCAAATTCGTCAATTTATGTCGATTTTTAGGAATTTGGTTCCCAATTTTCGCAGTATTTTCTTCAATGAGGTAAGTGGAAATACGACCTGAACGAGGTTGATCGTCAATTGAAATTTTCCGTTTTTGAAGCGGGAAAACTACCCAAAAACTTGCATTCTCCCCATAGCATCATCCCTGCAGGACGCCTTTAGCCTTTCCTTGCCGGTTTTTAACAGAAGAAAACAACATCTGATGAGGCACGTTGCTAACGAAAATCGGACATCATCAAAAAACGACGAGCGCTCAAAAGAAATATCACAAAAATTTGTGATAATCGAACACGGCCTTCTAGGGCAGCAATGCTAGGCGCACTAACTGATGAATATCAGTAGCAAATGCATAATGCAGATACTAGAAGAATGCGGTGCTGCCAAAATTTCGCCCACCCCACAGGCACTTCATTTTCTTTTTAGGTCACCCTTCGTAAATCATCGTATTAATTTCTCATTGCTTCATCACATTTTGTCGTAGCAAAAAAATAATTCGAACTTTGAAGCTATAAGC